TAGGCAGCTAAGGTGGTGCAATGGATAGAGCGCCCAGCCTGAAGTCATGAGTTCAAATTCAGCCTCAGATACTTACTAGCTGTGTGACCCTGGGCAAGCCACTTAAACCCGATTTGCCTGTTTCCTCATTTGTAAAATAAGGTAGCAAACCAGTCTAGTATTTTTGCCAAGAAAACCCCAAGTGCAGTATGGAGAGTCAGATATAACTGAAATGACTGTACAATAGCTCATATATATGTATATATATACATACATACATATATGTATATGTTGTGCTACAAATGGACTTGCTTCCTCATCCATTCTGTCTTTGGATTGTCATACCAGCCCTTAAAGTTAGGTAGAGAAAGAGTTATCATCTCCATTTTACAGAGGAGGAAACAGGGGGAGGGAGTAACTTGGCCTCAGTTAGTGACTGAGTACTGAATATTCAAGCTATTATTTTCTCACTCCTATTCCAGAGTCCTTTCCACCAAGTCAGAATGCAGGATGGCATCTCCTGTGGCAGAGACAGCTGGATCCAGAGGTAGTTAAGCTATTAATACAGGAAGATGGAGCTTTCAATCCTTTATCATGATGACTTGTATTTTGTGTAGTCCTGGGTCCCTAGGGAAGGGACCCAGCAGTGAGGATTATTTTGTTTTTTCTTTTTTTAAAAAAAATTTTTTGCCAATTATATATAAAAACAATTTTTAACATTTGTTTTTCAAAATTTTTGAGTTCCAAATTCTTTCCCCTTTTTTCTTCTTTCCCCCTTCATTGAGAAGGCAAGCACTTTGACATAGGTTATACATGTGCAGTCATGCAAAACATGTTTCTTTTTTTTGAAAGTAGAAAGGAGTTTATTGCTTTCTCATGAGAAAGGGTACCCCCTTAGTCGCCATTGTGGGCCAGGAGAGTACTAGTTCCTTACGGAAATCAAGGCTTATTTATGCCCTAACATCAGTTCCTCCCCCTAACCCCTTCCCCTTATCCCATTGGCTGGGCTTTTCAGGGGGCAAAATCTTTTCACAGAAATCTAGAATGAAGGCAGTTATACAAGTTTGCCCAGAGACAAGAAATGGGTGGAAGTTTTTGCAAGGGAAATCAGTTCAGGTTGGGGGCAGGGCTTATTCTTTCTTTCTTTCTTTTTTATATAAATTTATTTATTTTTAGTTTTCAACATTCACTTCCACAAATTTTTGAGTTCCAAATTTTCACTTCATCTCACCCCTCCTCCCACCCCAAGATGGCATGCATTCTGAATATCCCTTCCCCTAGTGTGTCCTCTCTTCTATCTCTCCCCTCCTTCTCTTATCCCCTTCCCCTTCTATTTTCTTGTAGGGCAGGATAGACTTCTGTACCCCATTTCCTATATTTCTTATTTCCCAGTAGCATGTGGAAACTTTTTTTAAACATATGTTTTTAAAACTTTAGGTACAGTTATGCAAAACACGTCCATAGTAGACATGTGAAAAACTAACTCTATTTCCCTTAATCCTATCCTGCCCTCCCGTTTATTCTATTCTTTCTTTAGACCCTGTCCCTCCTCAGAAGTATTTACTTCTGATTACCCCCTTTCCCAATCTGCCCTCCTCTCTATCATCCCCCTGCTCTCTTGTCCCCTTCACCCCCTATTTTTCTGTAGGGTAAGACAGATTTCCATACCCAATTGGATGTGTATGTTATTCCCTCCTTAAGCCAAATCCTTATGAGAATAAGATTCACTCATTTCCTCTCACCTTCCCCCATTTCCCCTCCACTGTAAGAGACTTTTCTGTTTTTTTTTGTGAGATAATTTACCCCATTCTACCTCTCCCTTTCTTCTTCTCCGAGTATAATCCTCTCTCATCCCTTAATTTTATTCTCCAGCTATTACCCCTTAATCTTCAACTCACCGTGTGCCCTCTATCTATTTATATGTACATACATATAATTTTTTTCCTCCAACTACCCTGATACTGACAAAGGTCTCATGAGTTATAAATATCATCTTTCCATGCAGGAATGTAAACAGTTCAATCTTAATAAGTCTCTTATGATTTCTCCTTCCTGTTTACCTCTTCACGTTTCACTTGAGTCCTGTAGCAAAACATATTTCCATGTTAGTCATGTTGTGAAAGAAAGCACAGACAAAAAAACCCCAAGAAAAATAAAGAAAAAGTATGCTTCATTCTGCATTCAGACACCATCAATTTTTACTCTGAAGATGGATAGTATTTTTCATCACAAGTCCTTCAAATGTCTTGGATCATTGTATTGCTGAGATAGCTAAGTCATTCACAGTTGATATCATATAATATTGCTGATATTGTATACAATGTTCTCCTGGTTCTGCTCACTTCACTTTGCATCAGTTCATGTAAGTCTTTACAGGTTTTTCTGAGAGCTTCCTGCTCATCATTTCTTATAGGACAATAGTATTCAGTCACAATCATATATATATAGCTTATTCAGCTATTCCCCAGTTGATGGACATCCCCTCAATTTCCTATTCTTTGCCAGTACTAAAAGAGCTGCTATAAATATTTTTGTACGTGTAGTTCCTTTTTCTTTTTCTTTTTTATCTATCTCTTTGGGATACAGACTTAGTAGTGGTATTGCTTGGTCAAAGGGTATACATGGTTTTATAGCACTTTGGATATAGTTCCAAATTGCTCTCTACAGAGTAGTTGAATCAGTTTACCAACACTGCATTAGTGTCTTAATTTTCTTTGGGGATATTTTGTACTGACCCAACCCCATTCTCTTTTTTGGATCCCTTAGGAGCTATAGCTCATGTCTCAGCAATTTAGAGTTGACATCTTCATCTTCTGCCATTGCCAGCCAGAGAATTCCTGGAAAGAGAGTTAGAGCTTAGTTAAGCTTAGCATGAAGCTGAGGCTGGAGCTCTACTGGGGGCAGGGAAGGATTTGGTCTTGGACCAGTATTCTCTGGTCCTGATGTCAGCTCTCAGCGTGGAGCTGGAGCAAGCTGTGGCTTAGACAGGGATCAACCGGTCTCAAAGCTGCCATTATGTCTTGCTGAAAGTTGATCATGGGATCAAAAAATCTAGTCTAACTTATACATATTTTTATACCAAGCAAAGCTGAAGGCTAGAAAGGGGAAGTCACTTACCCAAGATCACTTAGATAATTAGTAGCAGAGCTAGAATTTGAACTGACTCCAAATCCAATTCTCTTTCCTCGACATGCAGTAAGTGTTTAATAAATGCTTGTCAATTGATTTCCACTACATCATTCTTGATTTTTGCCTTTAATAGTCAGTGCCTTTCTGGGTCTAATTTCTAAAATATATAGAAAACTGAGCCAAATCTATAAGATTCTCCAGTTGATAAATGTTCAAAGCATATGAACAGGCAGTTTTCAGATGAAAAAATTAAAGCTTTCTATAGTCATATGAAAAGATGCTCTAAATCACTATTGATTAGAGAAATGCAAATCAAAACAACTTTGAGGTACCATATCAAACCTATCAGATTGGCTAATATGACAAAACAGGAAAATAATAAATGCTGGGGAAGATGTGGGAAAATTGGAACACTAATGCATTTTTCGTGGAGTTGTGAAATGATCCAACCATTTTGGAGAGCAATTTGGAACTATGCCCAAAGGGCTACAAAAATGTGCATACCCTTTGATCCAGCAACACAACTTCTAGGTCTGTATCCCAAAAAGATCATACAAATGGGAGAAGGACCCACATGTACCAAAATATTTACAGCAGCTCTTTTTGTGGTGGGAAAGAATTGGAAACTGAGGGGATGCCCATCAGTTGGGGAATGGCTGAACAAGATGTGGTATATGAATGTAATGGAATACTATTGTGCTATAAGAAATGATGAGCAAGCAGATTTCAGAAAAACCTAGAGAGACTTGTATGGACTGATGCTGAGTGAAGTGAGCAGAACCAGGAGAACGTTGTACACAGTAAAAGCCACATTGTGCGGTGACTGACTTTGACAGACTCATCTCCTCTCAGCAATGCAAAGATCTAAGACGACTCCAAAGGACTCATGATGGAAAATGCTGTCCACATCCAAGAAAAGAACTATGGAGTCTGAAGGCAGATCCAAGCACATTATTTGATCTCTCTTTTTTTTTATTTTTTGTTTGTTTCTTCTTTCTCGTAGTTTCTTCCATTAGTTCTAATACTTTACAACATGACTAGCATGAAAATATGAATGTATATGTAAAGCCCATCTCAGATTGCATGCCATCTTGGGGAGGAAGGAGGGGAGAGATGGGGAGAAAATTTGGAACTCAAAATCTCATAGAAGTGAATGCTGAAAACTAAAAATAAGTAAATAAACAACTCCCCCAAAAAAACAAAACAAAAAAAAGTTGGTGATTTTCTGAATGTTGTTAGGTGGCCTTGAGAGGTCATATTAATTACAGGTCTAGCTCAAACCTCTTCAAGGCTCACAAATTGCTTTTTTTTTCTTTTTTGGTGAGGCAATCAAGGTTAAGTGACTTGCCCAGAGTCACACAGCTAGTAACTATTTTGTATCTGAGGCTGGATTTGAACTCAGGTCCTCCTGACTTCAAGGCCAGAGCTCTATCCACTGTGCTGCCTAGCTGCCCCTACAAATTGCTTTCTTTACAGCAGCCCTAGGATAAAGATCATCTCAGTAATACTCCTGCTTGTGGGAACTTCCCACTTGGATATGAAGATGATTCAGTCCCTCCTCTTTCCTTGCAATTTTTGTCTCACCTTTTCTTCATCACAGATTGCTACGATTTTGAGGAGTCCTCTCTTTCTGGGAATATCCTCTGGCTACCTTTGGGAGGAGATGAAGATGTCAGCTCACTGATGGGCCCTTTGGCAGCTATGCCCAGCAACGTGGCATATTCCTATCACCTCAGCAGGGGTGAATCTAGTTGGCAAAGGTCCTTATTTGCAGAGAAAACAGTGCCCATCAAAAGCAAATGGGCCCCTCCCTAGGCGCAAGGTGCTCATGGTTGCTGTTCCCTTTCCCCAAAGTGTCGTCCTCTTTGGGAGGCTTATAAAGCAGTCTCTGGCCCAGGGAGAGGGAAGACCCAAGGACTTACCACTGATGATCCATCTTCTACAGGTAACAGATTGAGGTATGAATGGGAAAGCTGTTTTTTTGGGGGGAGGGGAATGAAGGGATCGTAAGGAGGCAATGGGGTTCAATGCAAAGATATCATCAGGAGACCTGGGTTCTTGTGTTAACACTACCATTTACTAGCTGTGTGACATTGGACAAATACCTTATCGTATTTGGATCTGTTCCCCTCATCTACAAAATAAGTGTGTTGGACTATATAAGGGGTTTTTAAAGTGGAATCTACGAACTGATTAAAATTTTTTTTTGGATAACTCTATTTCAGTATAATTGATTTCCTTTATATGCTTATGTATTTTATTTAAAAAAAAACCATTATTCTGAGAAAGGTGTGCACAGACTTCAACAGACTGCCAGAGTTAGAAGTGGGTCAATGGCACAAAAATGTTAAGAACCGTTTTTTAAGATGTGAAGAATCCATCTTTAAGGTCCTTTTCAGCTCTGCCTCTCTAAGTTCTAAGGTCTGTTCCAGCTCTGCCATTCCTTGTTCTAGTTTCTGAGGTCCATTCCAATGTTTACATTTGTTTTTCTATGGTCTTTTTGAGCTCTAACATTCTATATCCTAAGCTCTTATTTTGGAAAATCCCTTCCAGCCCTGGTGTTCTGTGTTCTACATTTTCAGGCCTCTTTTGGCTCTAACATTCTAAATGTTAAACTTTAAAACCCATGATGCTGACATTTGATTTTTTTCATAGGATGATCTCGGAGGTTTATTCTTAAAGAGTCCTACAGGATCCTGTCTATCTCTTTCAGCAAGTAATTAAATTTGTCCAAGTGGTGATTTGGACCCCAGTATAGTGGAAAGTAACACCAGTTTAATAGTTACAAGATGTAGATGCTAGCATTTTCACTCATTCTCTACGTGACCTTAGGTATTTTCTGGGCTTCAGTTTCTCCATGTAGGAGGACTGACTATTCCTGCCCTACTCCAACTAAGCGGCTGTTCTGAAGAACTGGTGAGATACTGAACTTGGGGAAAGGAAAGGACCTAAGAAAAGCTAGAAGTGCTGATCCCATAAAATTTTAGAGTTGGAGTTCCCTTTAGTTCATCCTAGACCTGTATAGGAATCTCCTCTACAACATCATTGAATGGTGGTCAACCAACTTCTGATTGAAGAACTCCAATGATGGGGAACATACTAATTCCTGAGGCAGCCTGTTCTGCTTTGGGACAACCAAGGCTTAGGAAGGTTTTCCTTATATTGAGAGGTATCCTTGTTTAGTCATTTCAGTAGCATCTGACACTTCATGAGCCCATTTGGAGTTTTCATGGCAAAGATACTGGAGTGGTTTGCCATTTCCTTCTCCAGTTAATTTTTCAGATGAGGAAACTGGGTTAAGTGACTTGCCCAGGATCACAAAGCTAGCAAGTGTCTGAGGCTGGATTTGAACTCATGAAGCTAATCTTCCTGATTCTAAGTGCAGTGCTCTATCCACTGTGCAACCTAGCTGCTCACATTTAGAGGTAGGTAAGCATAAAGCATTTATTAAGTACTTACTATGTGAGGCACTGTGCTAAGCCCCAGTGATACAAATACAATTAAATAAGATAATTTTTGCCCAGTGGGGGAAGATGCTGTGTAAAGGAGAACTGAAAAGTGGGAGGGGGGAAGGGTACCTAAGTGGAGCAAGGCACCTGTCAGGGAGATGGAAAAGTCAGGAGAGTAAGTTGAATCAGGAGTGAAGTATTACTATGGTCCATCAAGAAATGGTGGTCAGCACTAGGGAGTCCCCAGTCAGAAAACTAGCCACCAAGGTGGCTAATGATGTGAACATTCTGGAAAAAAGAATTGAGTCAAGATGAGGAGAAAGTTGCTCCTCCAAGGTTCTTTCTAAGGAAAATTGAGTTTACCCTTTCTCTATACAACCACTCTTCATGGAAGTCTTTTCTACTCCAGACAAAATATTCCCAGTTCATTCAACTAATCTTGTATGTGGAGGGTTAACTAGACCTTTGGCAAGTTCTTTCTTGGATTTGAATCCTTACATAGGAAGTCTATAGTTGAACTTGAGTCACAGAGTGTCTGGGAAACAAACCCATCCGATAAGACAAGTCCTTTTGTGATATTAGTCACTGATTCTCCGAGGTCCCTTGGAAAAGGTTTCTGCACATTCCCTGAACATCAGTAGGGCTAAGGCAGCTATGGGCATAGGACTGGTCTCCCAGCCTCCAAGCTTGTCTACTGGAGCAGGTGATTGGGTCCAAGGTGGGGACCAAGCTGGGTGATTGGTGTGTGTTTCTCTGGGGACATCCTCAAAGTATTTCTTTTCTTTCTTTCCATAGCTCTCTTAAATCTGAAAATGCAGGTAAAGTCTTTCCAGGGTGGCTCTAGCAAGGACTTGAATAATAAGCACTTTTCCCACTTTTCCATCCATTGGCTGTTTATAACCATACTTTGAGGTGGGCGAGGCAGGAGTGATCATATCTATTTAATAAAGGATGAAATGGAGGCCTGGAAAGGGAAATGTCCAAGGTCACACATCATGTCAGTGGTAGATGTGGGATTAGAACTCAGGTCCCCAACTCTCAATTTGATTAAATTTTCCCTTTTACTATATTTCCTGAAAGAAGAAGAGGGAGTTGATTAAGTGAAGGATTGTGTAGCTTGTTTTGTGGATCAGTTTTGACAGAACTAGCTCTATTTTAACCCCCAAACCCTTTTGATGAGGTACCAGCTATCCTGTTCTCACCAGGTTCCTTGATCCGTAACTCATTGCCAGAATCAGCCATGTTTCTAGTGTGTACCTTGGGATTCCTCTTTGGGATGTTGGTCCCATTCTGTGGAGCCTACTCACCAAGGATTGTGGTCAGGATTAACGAGGCAGCCCTGGACTATGGTAAGTGAAGTGACTTATCTGGTCAATCAGAGTAGTCGTTAGCTATTTCAGTGCTGGAACAAGCAGCGAATCTGGGTCAAGCAATGGGAGAGGTACCCTCAAATTAACTTTGCAATTTATGAAATGAAAAGAATACAGGGAGTAATTAAGAGAGATTTCAGTTAAGGGAGAGGGAGAGTTGGTTACTACAGTGGCTTATAGATAAGTGCTATTAATAGCATCCTCCCATAGCTTCTTTTAAAAAACAAATTAGTCATGTTAACAACTGGTTAACAAACTCATCGTTTCTACTGCTGTGAGTGCATTACTAGATTTTTATGCCCTCTATATTTTGCCCCATAGCCTTGCCCCATTTATGGCTCTCTAATCAGCTATGGGTGCCACCTGTCATGCGAATAGGCAATAATAATAATAATAATGATAATAATACTAGTTAGTGTTTTTATAGAATCTTAAGGTTTGTAAAGCACTTTATACATGTTATCTCATTTGGTTCTCACAATAACCCTGCGAGGCAGGTGATGTTTCCCATATCCCCAACTTCTTGATAACCCTGAGAAGTTAAGAGACTTGCTTAGGGTCACATAACTAGTAAATGTCTGAGACGGGATTCAGACTTCGTGGCTTTGGGATGAGTATTGGTGGTAGAACTTACAGAGCATTACATTAATCTTTGTGTTTAATCAGAGCAGGGTGATTGCATAGCAGGGGCTGGGAGCCTCGAGTGAGGGGCCAGTGAGGAGTCAGGACTTTCAGATTGGATGCAGGTGGGAGGTGCTGCTGCTGAGCCTTGGAGTTTGAGGTATACTAGTTTAGATTTGAGAAGTTTGGTGTCGGCTCGTCTTTCAGCACAGGAAGGTCTTGCCCTTTGGTTTTGCATGTGCTCTGAAATTGTACTCTACAGTGAAGGGAGCTTTAGCCTTGGAGTCATTTATTCTTTTAGTCTAACCAACTCTTTCACTAATTCACTATGTTATCTTAGGCTAGAAGCTTCCCTTTTCTGCAATGCCATTGAACTTTCTGCTGTACAAAATATTTGACATAACAATGATAACAATAGCAGCAGTAATGATAACAATAACAGCAGCTAACTTGTGCCAGGCATTGTGCTAAGCGCTTTATAAATATTATCTCCTTTGATTCTCTGTTTTCTTCCCTGTAAAACAAGGGAATTGTACCAGATGATCTCTAAGGTCCCTTGCAGAGTGGACATTTTCTGTTCCCTTTCAGGTCTGAAATTCTGTGTTCTAAGGTTCCTTTCATTGCTGACATTCTTTCCCCCCAGCTGTGACATCGTCTGTTCTAGGGCTCTCCTAACTCTGATGTTCTGTGTGTTAAGGTCCCTTTCCTCCTAGGATTGGTAAAACGTTTTATCTGTGAACCATTAGAGTGTTATAAGCTGTAGGAACATGCCTCTTGGGTCAGACAGAATAATGTGTTGGTTCTAGCTGATGTTTGGTCCCTGCAGGCATAGGGTTTCTTATGTGTCTGGTCGCCTAGGCTCCTCAGAGAGAGCTCCTCTGTGTTCTTTCAGATTCTCAGCCTGTCAATCAAGAAACACTAATCACATATTTACTGTGTGCCAGGCACAAAAATAAAAATAACATAGTCCCTGTCCTCAAAGGGGCATATGTTACATTTTACAAATTTTATTCATTTATTTTTTAACATTCATTTAAAAAATGTGGATTTCCAAATTCTCTCCCTCCCTCCTACTCTTCCCCCACCCACAAAGAAGGCAAGCAGCATGATATCCATTATACATATAAAGTCATGCAAAACATATTTCCATGTTGGCATTTCACAAAAAAACCCCCCAAAACAAAATAACAAACCAAAAAAAGAAAAAGCAATGAAAAGCAAGCAACATAAAGAAAGTGAAAAAAGTATGCTTCAATCTGCACTTAGAGTTCACCAGATCTCTTTCTGGAGATGGATAACATTTTTCATCATGTGTCCTTTGAAGTTGTCTTGGATCATCATATTGATCAGAGTAGCTAAGCCTTTCACATTTGATCACCATTACAGTATTGTTACTGTGTACAAAGTTCTCCTGGTTCTACTCCCTTCTCTTTGCATCAGTTCGTTTATGTCTTCCCAGGTTTTTCTTACACCATCCTGCTCATCATTTCTTATAGCACAATAGTATTCCATCACAATCATATACTATATCTTGTTCAGCCATTCCCCAATTGATGGGCATCCCCTTAATTTCTAACTCTTTGCCACCACGAAAGAGCTGCTATAAATATTTTTGTATGTGTTAAGTCTTTTTCAAGGGGGCTCATAGTCTAATGGGATAGACAATATGAAAATAACTATGTACATATAAGATATATATAGTGTAAATGGAAAGTCATCCCTAAGGGAAGATTGGTAACTGTCCCCCTCCCACATATGCCTCCCTTCCAAAGGACTTTTGTGGAGGTGGGATGTAAGCAGAGTTTTTGCCGATCCTCCATTTGAAGATGTCCTCATGGGGATGCATCTATTGCTGAAGCACCCACTCTACTTTTTTTTCCAAGTCTAACTGTTCACTGTGTGACCCTGGGCAAGTCACTTAACCCCAATTGCAAAAAAAAAAAAAGAATATCCAAGTCTAACTGTTCAGAGACTCTACCCACTACTGAGCTGAAAAATTCCACTCATTGTTCTGGTCCTGCCTTTGAGATAAATCCTTTCACTTCATTAACAACCTTTCTAATAATTGAAGAGTTATCAAAATCCCTAGGTTAAACATCCCCAGGTCCTTCAACTGATCCTGGTTTAGCCTTTAGTCCTCTCACCCTCCTGGTCACCCTCCTGTGGACATGTGCTTTGGTTTGTCAATATCCTTTCTCAAAAGTGCCCAGCAGAGTCACCTAGAAATTTGCAGCAGCCTTCGCTGGAACCTTCTCGTCCTGGGTCACATCTAGGCCAGGAGGGCCTGTTGGATCCCTTACGCTGGCAGAGGATAAAGGATGTCAGTGATCTGTGTTTGGTTGGTGTGACAGATACACAAGTGAAAGGGTGATTGCCTTTGAATAACTAGGTCTGAGAGGCTCTGGCTCTTTTCCTTGTTCTGTCACACCAGACTGTTTGACTTTCTTTTGTCCCACAAGGGCTGCATCTGCCTTTGTTGATTTCAAGAGGAAATTGTGTGACTGGCCCAGGAATTCAGAGGGCACACCTTCCCTCAGGGTTAGTCATCTCTTCAGAATGCTGGGCCCTGGGGGTCTAGGATCCTGCCGCTCTCCCTCCATCCTCCCAATAAAGAACCAAAAGATGGAGTCTCCTTCAAACTGCATCCCTCTCTCTTTTCCTTAGTATAGTGTGGTGGAAAGAGCTCAGGAGGTAGTGGGCTCTCCATCATTGGAGGTGTACAGAGTTGTATGACCATTTGTGGGCATGTTGTAGAGGGCCTTCCTGTTCCCTCTGTAGTTCATTTAAGCTCTGGGGTGCTTTGATTCTAATTATCTCTGAACTTTAAATCTGAAAATTTGGGTTTCCTGTCCTGGCTTAACCACTTATTAATTGTATGACCTTGAGTAATGTACTTTCTTTCCATGAGGCCATTTACTCTCATCACATAGTCCTTCAGTCAATCAATAAACATTTATTAAGTGCCAACTGTGTGTCAAATGCTGGATGATAATATTTTCTCTGCCTACCCCACAGGGCAGTTGTGAGGGTCAATTGAAATAATGGATATAAAGTGCTTTGAAACTATAAAGTGCTTATAAATGTAAGCAATCATTTCCTTCTCCTCCTCCCTCAAAGTCTGGCATGGAACTTCCCCTCTGGCCCCAAGTCTGGGGAAATGTGGAGGATGCTGTCCTATAGGGGAAAGATTGGATGCCAGGAGACGTGGGTTCTGATTCTGCTTTGCTGTATTCCTGGTTGCTTTCCCTCTTGCACAATGAGGGGATGGATTAGGTGGGCTCTAAGGTCCATCATAGCTCTCATATGGCATCATAGCAACGACACTGAAATGCTGCCTCTTTTACTCAGTGGCACAGATGGGGCGCACGTCTTTCCAGAATGCCCTGAAGATTCGACTCCCTGATCTCCTTGACCTAAAAGAAGGTTACTTCCAACGAACCCCGTAAGTTCCCCACTGGGCCAGTCCCTGCCCTGACGTTTCTCAGAAGCTATCGCTGTTCCTTTCCAGACAGTCTTTAGTCAATCCAAGTCAAACTACTGTAAATAGTTGTGTCCCTGATCTCCTATCTACATCTGAGCAGAAGCATTTATTTACTTAGGTCTTCCCATGGAGGTAGTATGGTATTATATGGAGGCTCTGGAGTGTTCCTAGCTATGTGACCTTGGGGAAGCCAAAGGATGGAGTCTCCTTTAAACTTCATCCCTCTTCCTTTTCTTTAGTATAGTATAATGGAAAGAGCTTGAGAGGTCGTGGGCTCCCCATCATTGGAGGAGTACAAAGATTGCATGACCATTTAAGGGCATATTATAGGCGGTATTCCTGCTCTGCTAGGGGTTGAATGGACTAGGTGCCCTTTGTAGTTTATTTAACCTCTGGGGTGCTTTGATTCTAAGATTCCAAGACATTGCCTTCCTAGATTTTTATTTGCTTCTCCGTAAAAAAGGGGGCTGAACTCAATTATTTCTATTATTATTCTATAATAATAATAGTGAGCATTTATGGCGTGCCCACTGTATACTAGGCACTGTGATAATTGTTTTACAGATGTTATCTCATTTGATCCTTACAATAACCCTGGCAGATAGGTGCTGCTATTGGCCCTATCTTACAGTTGAAGAAACTGAGGCAAGCATAGGATAAGTAATTTCCCCAAGGTCATATGTTTAGTAAGTGTCTGAGGCTGGATTTGAACTCAGGTCTTCCTGACTCCAGGTCCAGAGCTCTATCCACTGCCCCACCTAGCTGCTTTTCAGCTTTAGATCTGTGATGTCTTCTTTCAGTGCCCAAGTTAAGGGCTCCCTTCCTGTAAGGGGCTTCTCTGTAGAACTCCATGTTCCCACAGAGCTTTTGTGCTGATGGAGCATTGTTCATGGGGGAAGCTTCTGCGCTACCTCCACCAGCAGGCTGTGCAGATGGACTTCACTACCAGACTCCTTGTAGACCCTGGCTAGGTAGTCATCACCATGGAGTTTTTCCCTCTCACTCAGAGCTGAAACCTTCCTCACGTGCTGTGTCTCCCATTGGAATGTGAGCTTCTTAAGAAGAAGAACTGTTGGGGCAGGTAGGTGGTGCAGTGGATAGAGCACTGGCCCTGAAGTCAGGAGAACCTGAGTTCAAATCCAGCCTCAGACCAAACACTTGACACTTACTAGCTGTGTGACCCTGGACAAGTCACTTAACCCCAATAGCTTAAAAAAAAAAGAAGGGGGGACTGTCTTTGCTTTTCTATTTGTATCCTCCAGAATTCAACATAGTTCTTAGCACATAAGAAGTGCTTAATAATGCTTTTTTATTCATTCATTCATGGAAAGCTCTCTGGAAGGGAAAATGGGAACTCATGTCATGTGGCATGTGCCAGCTATATTCATGTCTATGTAATAGGCCCAGGCAGTTGTCTTACCTACATGGGATGGTTTCAATGGGGAACCTAACTTTCATTTTTGGTGTTATTGAGCCCAAATCTCTCCGGCGTGGCCCTTGACATTTTGCCACTCTAAAAGAGAAGTGAAGGATCTTAAAGTCATGTAATTCTGAGTCAGAAGGTCAAACCTACTCATTTAAAAAATGAGTAAACTGAAGACCAGAGAAGGGAATGACCTATCCACAGCCGCACTTTCTCAGCATGCCCCTTCCTGCTATCTGTCAATCAATCAATCAGCAAGAATTTATTAAGCACCTACTATGTACCTGGGACTCTGCTAAGTGTTAAGGTTACAAAGAAAAAAAAAAGAAACATTCCTGACTCTCAAGGTACTTATATTTAATTGGGTAGGACACAATGAACATAGATTAAATATATACTGAGTGTATATATATGTAGATATATGTACACATATTAAGTACTGTATAAAGTCACTTTGGCAGGGAGGGTGCTAGGAGCAATGGTGAGGGTGTAAGGGGGGAGATAAGGAAAAACTTCAAGTAGGTAGGGTTTCAGCTGAGTTTTAAAGGATTTTAGAAGGGGGAGGAGTGAGGAGGGAGTACATTGTAGGCGTGGGGGCCTGCCAGTGCAAACGCATCTTTGAAAAAGTCATCCCAAAGATGGGGGATGGCATGCTGCATAAGTTTGGCTGGATCATAGGGTGCAAGGAGAATAATGTGTACTGAGACATGAAAACTAGGAAAGGGCCTGGTTGTGGAGATCTTTAAATGCCAAACAGCATAATTTCTGTTTGATCCTAAAGGTTACAAACAATTACTGGAATTTATTAAGGGGGGTGTGGATGAGAGGGGAGAGTGGTGACATGATTAAGTCTATGCTTAAGGAAACTTACTGTGGGTTGCTGTGTGAAATGAAGTGAATTGGAGTGGGGAGAGACTTAAGGCAAGGAGATTAATATTATTATTATTATTATTATTATTATTATTATTATTAGTCTATTGCAATGGTCCAGGCCAAAGGTGATGAGGACTTCGACCAGGGCAATGGCTGTGTGAGTAGAGGACAGGTGTTGGATTTGAGAGATGTTATGGAGGTAGAAATGATAAGATTTGGAATTGACTGGATATGTGGAACAAGGGAGAGTTAGGCATCATGGATAACTCTGAGGCTGAGTACCTGGGAGATATTGAGGATGGTGGTACTTTGACAGAAATAGGGAAGTCTGGAAGAAAGGTGGGTTTGGGCGGAAAGATCATGAGTTCTGTTTTGAAACGTTGGGATTATATTGGCTATGAGACATCCAATCACCTTGATTTTGGCTCTCCTGCTCTGGGCCACAGCTCTAACTATTTGCTTGTCTGCCTCTGGCCTCAGGGTCCAAGCTGGAACGCAGACTTTCATCCTGGAAACCATTCACTAATGCTCACTTCTCATCCCTCAGGGTCTTCATACTTGACAGCGATATTCCCCACTTTAATCTGAAATTTATCCCTAATTATGGGATTCGCCTGTCTGCTGCTGGCCACGTCAATATGACAGTTATTTTGTGAGTATGCACCCTTGGGCCAGGAAAGAGGGATGGAATGGGTGTAGAGGATTCCTATGGGAAAGGTTGAGCTGGGAATTGGGGTATGTGTTTAAATTCTGACTCCTACTAACCCCCAAGCAGCAAAAATGACTTAACAAGGATTCCAAACAGCTCTTCCTTTCTGGGCCCCACTTTGGTCAGGATTGCTGCCCAGGAATCCTTTCCATACCTCACATCACAATACTTTATCCTCCTTCAAGTACTACCCCCAAACTCTTATCTCATTCGGATCAGTAGTCAGGAAGGGGGTGATTATCTCTGTTCAGTAGTTGAAGAAACCAAGATTCAGATGAGGATGACATCTAGGCTGTGAGGCTGGGTGAATGGAAGGATAGTGGTTCCCTGAACGGTAATATGGAAGTTAGGAAACTGGAGAGGGAAAATGAGTTAAACATTAAACATGAGTTAGAGATATTTAATGAACATCCAGTTCGAGATGTCTAATTGGCAGTTGAGGATACAAGACTGGAGGTTAGGAAAGAGGTTAAGGCCGGATCTAGGAATCATTAATCTAGACGGGATTATTGAATTCATAGGAACTGATGAGATCATCAAGTAAGATAGTATAGATGAAGAGAGAAGAGAGCCCAGGATAGAACTTTGGGGTACAACTGCTTTTAGTGGGCATGGATGATATAGCAAAGGAGACTGAGAAGAAACGGACAGGTAGGGAGAGAACCAGCAGAGAGCAGTGTCACAGAAACCTACAGAGAAGAGAGTTTCAGGAGAAGAGAGTGATTGATAGCATTGGGGGCTGTAGAGAGATCAAGGATGAGGACTGAGGAAAGGCTATTAGATTCAGGATGGAGGAGGAGCAAGAGGTGGTGAGCTCTGCTCCCCTCACCCCAAACTCTTCCAGACAGATCTGGAAAATGTGTTAGAACAAATCTGAAGGGGAAATCCAAGAAAAAGTTACAGTGTCATTTTTCCAGTCTGTATCAGCATAAGGAGACAGGCAGAGAGGTCTGTGGACATTGAGGCTGGGGTCTGACCAGGAGCATAGAGCACTCCAGCACAGGAAGAGACTGTGCCTAAGGGCAAATAATAATCCCAAGCTCATACTGGGGCAACCCCAGACCCAGGCTGGGGCACCTTGATGGTGACACATGCCAACTGGCAGTTTTGCCATACACTACCCAGTTCCAGATCACACACCTGGAGGTAGACTGAGGAGGGCACCTGCACCATGATTCCTCTCTCATTACCCTCAGCACCTCCAGCATCTCCAGGTTCTGGGCTGTGTATCAAGAGAAGAGCTATTTCAGAAGCAAGCAGCAGTGTTGTGATGGAACCTGGGAACAGAGCAGGGCCTCAGTTATAGCTCTAGTCCAATCTGAAACCTGTAGAAGCATAACCAGGGCAGGAATTCCAGACCAATGGGAAGCCTGAATTTCTGTCACTCTGAACTAACAGAGCTTCCCAGATCAATGGTAGGGGTGGAATCTAGCAGTGTTTTGCTGTTGCCCAGACCCAAACCTAGGACAGGAATTTGCATCATTCAGTCCAGGGAGACAACAATCAGGCTTTAAACTGTATCAGACCAATTTGGGAGCCCCAAAAGCTGGCAAATCCCCCAGCCTGAGCTGTTCCCTGGGATCCTGGAACAATGTGACATTCAGTACCCCAAGAAAGCATCAGTAGCACTAGCCTAGACCTTCTCTTCAGAAGTACACAAAGCCTGGCTCTAACATTGAGTCCAAAGTCAGGAAGTAAGGCTGGAAGAATGAGCAAAAAAGCAAGCAAAAAAAAAAATCTCACCATAAAAACCAAAAAAAAAAAATATGGTGACAGGGACGCCTAATATACAAATCCAGAAAAAGAGAATGACTCTAAAATGTCTACATGCAAAATCTCAAAGAATAGCACAGTATAGGCACACATTCAACTAGAATTTTTGGATGAGATGAAGCAAGAATTTTTTTAAAAAAGCATTAAAATATTTTTTGTTAATGAAATGAAAATGTTAGAGAAAAAACTGGAAAAGAAATGGTAACTGTGGAAGACAGAATTAGGCAGGAAATTAATGGCTTGGTAGGAGAGTTATAAAACCTTGTGCAAAATCAAACTCCTTGACAGTTAGATTAGATCAAGTGGAAGCCAGTGACTCAATGAGATGACAAGATAAAATAAAGCCAAAAGAGTAAAAAAGTAAATTCTGGGTTCTTTCTGTGCAGAACAAAGAATCTCCACAAACTGAGAGTGGCTATTAATATCACGGCAGATATAGTCGTCACTCAAGCCACCACAGGATCACCACTTGTGGGCGTTTCTCTCTGCAAATCCATCCCTGAGGATATCACTGTTATCTACAGAGAAGACGGGTATGTACCCTGAGCATCTCCTTATATCACGTGTGTCACATGAGCAGGGGCCTGGAGGTGGGACTTTTTATAGGTCAAGTGATAGAAGGAGGGTTAAGTGATAGGGCTCCTGGGAGTCTTCAGTTATACTTCAGTTATACCAGGGATTCTAAGCTTTCATTCATTCATTAATTTAATAAACACATATTGAGTAATTACAACATGCAGAACCTCTGGAATATAGGAAATTCAAATTTATATGTCAGGGTCCCTGCCTGCATTGAGCTTATAGTCTAGTAAAGGAGCAGAACAATACATAAATAACTATAATGTGCAATATTGCATTAGAGAAGTTCAAAGTGCTACTTGAAGTCTGAAGGGAATTTTTTTGTCAGCCTAGGGGATATCAAAGAAACCTTTCCAAATGAGCTGACATTTGAGAATGGATAGGAATTCCATGGGTGAACAGGAGAGGGGAGGAATTCTAGGTAGAGAGAACAGCATAAGCAAAGACAATAATGTAGGAGATGACTTGGTTTTGGTGACACCTGAGATCTCAGACACCCTAAATAACTTAGATGTAGTCCTAGAAAAGATTGTGTAAGGTATCCCTGAGACAATGATCCTCTGCATTAATTCCCTACTTACTGTTTATTAACCAATGAACCAAATGGAGACTTCTTTCAGTATCATATATCAAAAAAAACACTCTGGACAAAGAAGTCAGGCAGGTTCTTAGATAGTTAGTGCTGGCTCTCATTCTCATTTGTCGCCTGACCTTGGGCAAGTCATTTCTCCTGATCTAAGCCTCAAATTTCTCCTCTGAAAAACAAAAAGATTTGGATGAAAAATCCCTTCCTGCTGTGATGGTCTATGGTCTATGATAATGATGACCTGCCAAAGGTCATACGTACATCTGACTGCTGGCGGACTGGGACTAGAATCTGGACCTCCTGACTCCTAGTCCCCAGGTCATGTGAAATTGTGGCATTTAAAGCGGGAGGGGCACTTAGAGGTCTAATTTCCTCCACTCATTTTTTACAGATGCTGAGAAAACAGATGCTCAGGAAGGTTGAATGATTTGCTCACAGTCACACATGTAGCAGAGCTGGGATTCAGATCCTCTGACTTTGAAGGCAGTGATCTTTCCCCTGTATAGCAGCTGCCCTTCTACCCCAAACGTTTGGAGAGAGCCCTGAACTGCTCAGTGGCTGAGAATACCCAATCCAGCCTGTGTTGTCACAGGCAAATAGTGGTCTAATGGCTGCCACGTGATGAAAGTTTAGACTTTTTCTGCTTGGCCCCAGAGTGTTGAACTTGGAGCAGTGGGAGGAAGCGAAGGGAGGCAGAGTCTGTCTCAACATGAGAAACACGTCCTGACAATTACAGCTGCCTGGGGATGGAATGGCTCCCTTGGGAGTAACTGAGTCTCTGACAGAGACTGGGTGACTACATAGTGTAGATTTTGTAGAGGGGATTAGGATCCAGATATTTTGGTGTTCAGTTGTTTCAGTTGTATCTGACTCTTCGTGACCCCATTTGGCAAAGATACTAGAGTGGTTTGCCATTTCCTTCTCCACTCATTTTACAGATAAGTAAACTGAGGCAAACAGGATTAAGTGACTTGCCCAGGGTCACGCAGCTAGTGAAAGTCTGAGGCTGGATTTGAACTCAGGTCTTCCTGACTCCAGGCCCAGCTCTCTATCCATTGAACCACCTAGCATCCTGTAGGATCCAGATATAAGTTAGACCAGATGGTTCCCTTCCTTCTAGGTCCCTTCCTTCGAGGAAAGACTGTGAGCTTCATACAAACTCTCCTTCATATGTTCCCATAGGGGATGGGCCATAGGGATATCCTGATGGGGAGCACTGAAGAAAGCTGTAGGGAAGAGGACCCAGGTGAAGGCAGGGAACAGCTTACATTCTGGACATTTGGGCTAAGTCTGTGGAGCTGGAGGGATGTGTATTCACCTTATCTGATAGGCATGTTTTACTTGGCCTCTCTAGGTTAAAAGAATTATGGAATCCTATCCTGGGATATATTAGAATTATCTTACCTGATAAGGTAAAGAACCTTTTGGCTTCAGCTTTTTGGAATGTTTAATTCAAATGCCAGTGAAATTAGCAACTCTGATAATAATAGAATTTTAAGCACCAGTGGGATGATTTTGGAGCCTGGCCTTTTCTCTCATCTGTGAAATGCACCATGTTGTACTATCTATTTTCCCAAATGAATTGAGGGGCCAGGACAGTTTTCAGCTGGAGGGGTCCCTTTCTAGGCTTGGAGTTTGTTTGAGCCTGTGGGAATAGGGGAGCAGTGGTTTCTGGCAGGCTGAAAGAGGGACTCTTTTCTTGTGATACCCCAGGACCTTATGGAGGTGGCTGGAGAGGCCTATGACTCTGTAGGATTCTCCTTATATTGCCCCCCTGCATCTTCCTACCATCATCTATTCACATCCTACTCACCATTCTCTTAACATCCTTTTTAGGATTTCCTTGGACAGTTTTGCCACCTGTAAATGAGGAAAGTCCATTCCCTATTGACTTTGCAGGGAAGTCCCAAGGTTCAAAGGAGATGGCAGATGTAGAAATAGTTTGAAAAGTCCCAAAGTGCCATATGTACATTGTGAAGGATTTTATTGATATTTTAAAAGGTGCTGATCATCATTCCCCTGCTTACTTCAGAATAGATTGAAACAGAGGAAATGCCTTTGGCAGGAAGCAGTGGGCACTGGTGCTATTTAGTAACCTGGATGAGTTGCTTAAAGCTCTGGGTCAAGAGATGTGGTTCTAAATTTCCTGGATCCTACAGGAAAAAGGAAAATGTTCTGGATTACATAGTTTAGATTTTTCTGAGGACAGAAAAAGAGGAATTTATCAGCAGTTACACATTGTTTCCTGGAATGAAATCCCTACTTAAGTAGGAATCCATTGAGAGTTCATATAGAAAGGATATGACTTGACATCAACTCTTTAACATTAATGTTTCTATAGCCCCTTATGGTTTCAAATCACTTTTGTCCCTACAAAAAAATCTCGAAGGGAGGGAACAATTGTCCCCAGGATTGGCCTAGAGGTAGCAAAACTTTGAAGTGGGTCAAGTTTGTCTTCGGTGACCCCAGCTTTGGTTTTGTGTACTGTTTCTGCTCTCTCTAATTCTCGTACTTCCTTTTTTAAGGTCTCTTGACCTTGAGAGACACTCTAAGACCTGATGTACCTTGCCATTCCCTACTTCTCTCCATGAATATCTATCTGTTCCTGGGATACCTCTCTCAGCCTAATTGACCTTTTCAGTCTTGACTTCTTTTTGAGAATGGAGGTCTTTGTCCCCACTGAAGGCATTTCAGTCTCATTGGGAAAGGAGGGATTTTGGGGATAGACATTGCAGGAGATCTCTCTCAGTGCCCCCTGTTGCTAACATCTTTCCCTCTGAGGTTGCCTTCATCTACTGTCTTGTGTTTGTCTATTTGTGTACATGCTGCCTCTTCCATTAGAATGTAAGCTGCTTGTGGGTGAGGACTGCATTTCCTTTTTGCTTGCCTGCCCAGAGCTTAACATGTGGCCTGCCACATCATAAGCACTTAATAAATGCTTGCTAATGGAATTAATTGGTGTAGATGGCCACTGGCTCTTCCTTCTTTAGCCTTGACCACCTACTTAATTAACAAGGTGTTTGTCCTCTTTCTGGTTGGTACAGCTGTGTTCAAAGCTCCTTTTCCTGGTTGAAGGACTGAATGTTTATCTGGGTACAATGATTGGTAAGTGTTGTGAGCTGACTTGATTTGGCTGCTCACCCTCTGGCTGGGCCCAGATTCATGAGGCATCACAGATGCCCCTCAGGTTCAAGGGAGCAGAATCATCAAATGTAAGTCAAGAGAACAGTGTGTACTTAGCCAATATCTAGGAGTATAGATCATTAGAAGCAATTAGTCATCAATGAATCTCCAAGATGGGCACCTGCTCTGTGTTCAGGCTTGTGTCTTGGGCTATGTGAGGAAGCCAACATATTTATAGGTAACCTTCCAGCTTACAAAGCACTCTCCATTTAGCACCCCTGTAATCTAGATAGTCAAAAGTATGGTTCATAGAATTATGGGATATGGAACTTTTGAGTGACTTTTGAGATCCTTTGCTTCAAGTCTCCTGATTTTACCCAAAAGGAAACTGAAGCCCAAAGGGATTGACTTTCCTAAGGTCTCACAAGTCCTTGAGTAGGTCAAGGATCTGAACTCTGGTATTCCCATTGTAAATTGAGTGTTCTCTTCAATATAGCATGTTACCATTCTATCATTCCCATCTTATAGGTGAGGAAACTGAGGCTCAGAGCGGTTAAATGATTCATCTATCTAGTCAATATTGAAGATGGTCAAACACTGGTTGTCTGACTCCAAATCCAATGAACTTTCCACTATACCTGATGCCTAAGACAAGAACCATAGAACATTAGAGCTAGAAAGGCCCTTGGACCATAGAATACAGAATAGCAGGTTTGGAAGGGTTGTTAGAACATAGACTATTAGACTGGTTCTGATACTAACTCTTCTTATGACTTTAGGTGGGTAGTGCTTCCTCTTTCTTGGCTTTATTTTCTTCCTTTATAAAATGAGAGTATCGGAAAGAAGTAAATTCAATTTTTTAGAGGACCTACTATGTGCCAAGTACTTTATAAATATTATCTCATTTTATGTTCACAACAACCCTGGGAGGGGGGTGCTGTTATTATTCCCATTTATAGGCGGGGAAACTGAGACAGGCAGAGGTTAGTTAATTTGCTCAGGGTCTCAAAGCTAGGACGTATCTGAGGCTAGAACTCAACTCAGATATTCCTGACTCCAGGTCCAGTGCTCTATCCACTGTACCCAGTGGTCTTTATTGCACTAGGCAATCTCTAATGGTGGTTTTGGATGGGAGAGTCTGTTCTTTTGTAATTCTAGGTCTTCACCCTCTTGGTCCTGAATCCCAAATCAGCTACTCTTTGACCGACCTACCTACCATCACCAAAGAACACATGTCCTTGAATATCAATGTAAGTTCTGAGCTTACCTATTGCTGACTAGTCTCCAACCTTCTGCCACGTCTTCTACCCTTTAGTTTGGGAACCTTCAGGTTATGACAAAGGACTTGCTTCCCCAATAGCCCAAACAGCCTAGGATTCCTTGAGTACCTGTCTGGGCTAAGTTGTGATGTAGATAGGAGAAAGAGGCCCAGAGCCTGCCCTCAAGCCTATTGGGTGTGTGTGTGTGTGTGTGTGTGTGTGTGTGTGTGTGTGTGTGTAAATAGAACATGTCACAATAAACAAAGAATGCATCATGGGATTTGATCAAGGGACAAATTAAGTTCAGAATCTAAGTACTTCAGGAACCTGGAAAAAGTGAGACTATCCTTCAGTGAGGGTAATAAGGACAAGTTTCCTGGAGGGAATGGGACATGAGTTGGACCTCAAAAGATGGCAGGATTTAGAGAGGAGAAGATGGTGTGCATTTCAGGTGAGGAGAGAACAATTTAAACAAAGCCATAGAAACTGGGTGTGAATATTATGTGCTGCAAAACATGGAGGAAACTGACTTAGTTGGAGCAGAAGGAATATGTTGGGAAGGAGAGATAAGAATAAACAATATTATATTACCTGTATATATTTCATATTTCTTCTGTGGGCCACAGAAGAAATGTCTTATCTAAACTCTATTTTTTCCCTAACACCTAACACTAGCTTCTACATACAGTAGGCATTTCATAAATACTTGTTGAATTCATAGCACTCGAAGGGAGGGACCTTAGAGATCACATATTCCCATCATTGTATAGACACAGAAATTGAATGAATTGAAATAAATTGAATTGATGGGGCTGGAGTATAGAGGTTCTTTAAACAGCCCTAAAACAACATGAAATAATCAGGAATGGCATCACTTATTTGGTTTTTGGACCCAAACCCATGTTGAAGGCCAACAGAGGTGATGTCTGCTTCTGTGGTTCATAGAAAGGGCCATAAAAGACATGGACATCCATCATGAAAGGCTCTATCAGGTATAAAGGAAACTTTTTCAAACACGGTAAAAACCATATGAACTATGAGGAGGCAAAAGAAGGTGGCAAGAATGATTAGATAGGGAGTATTAACAATATAAGAATCTTGGCATTGGGTGTGGTAAGAAGTGGATCTAAGATGGCAGTTGCACAAGACTTTGAAACTAGGAAGCTCGGACTCAAAGGGCTCGTATAAGAAGGTTCACTGTTGCAAATGTGCACCTGGGGTGGGTCTTCATGAGCTGGTACTCCCCTACATGAAATGAGTCAGTCTTGCTAATCAAACCCGACTACAGGAATGCCCTGATGCTGGTAATCTGATCTTTCGCTGATTCCTTGCCATACCCAGTAAAGTCTTCTGGCCTTCAAGAGCAATACTGATGTTATAGAGGTCTGCATTAAGATCCTGTTTTTCTCCCTCAAACTCTCTGACTAGATCACATTCTATCTGCTGGGCAAGCCAATCATTCTCCCTCCAGATGTGTCCTCCTTCTCTCTGCCTCAACGAGTGGGCTCTAGGAATGCCATGGTCAACTTTGTATTCCCAAAGGAGACGCTTGACTCAATCTACTTCCTCATGCAGAAGTCTGGGTCCATTAATCTAGACATCACGGGCCAGTTGGTAAGTGGAGGCAGATTTCCTGTGGGTCACTGTGATTGCCTAAAGAAAGACAGCTGTTCTATCTCTTTCCTTAGTATTCTTTCCTCACAAGTTTCTTTTCACATTCTTTTCATCATTCCTCTTTGGTACTCTTTGTGGGGTTCCCTATCTACAAAATAAAGACAATAACTAATACCCGATCTTGCATATGCTATTGCATGTAAAAACACTTCAAAAAGCATTAAGTGCTGTACACATGTGGGATTGTTATGTTAACATGTATTTAACATTTTTGCTCTGCCTGTTTTTAAAATTTTTTAAAATTTTATTTTTAATTAGTGGAATGAAACAAGCATCTCTATAACATAGTACAACAAAAAAGATTGTTGCACATGAAACTCTTAAATGACTTGAGAAAACTGTGGAGTAAACCACAGAATAAGACATTTAAGAGTAAAACAGAACAGATTCCTTTGGAACGAAGTAGAGGGAGTAGATGCTTTCAAGTACTTGAATGGAGCCAATGATAGCATCAGAGTAGGTAATTTTACTCCGTGTTTCTTGGAATATGGTTTTACCTGTGCAGACACATTTTCCCCTCTCTGGAAATAAGCCCACAGAAAGATTTATTGTGTGGGTCCTTGATTTCATCCATATGGATACTTCCTCTGTCCACTCAGATAATCCCTTTTTCCATGCCTTTAGCAGGTGGTTTTGTAAATTGCTTTGACCAGAAAATTCACTCCTTTGTGGTTGATTCTTCGTGAAGAGCCTCCCTCATTTTAGGCAGGTTAGTTTTCAGATGGTGGGCTGGCAAAGTCTGTAAAGCCATTTCAATTTATTTTATTTTATTTTATTTTTATCTTTTTGGGGCAATTGGGGTTAAGTGACTTGCCCAGGGTCACACAGCTAGTAAGTGTTATGTGTCTGAGGATGGGTTTGAATTCAGGTCCTCCTGAATCCAGGACTGGTGCTCTATCCATTGCGCCACCTCACTGCCTCACAGTGCTATTTTCTTTTACATGATTGTGATTACTGCGTACATTTTTCTCCTGGTTTTGCTTGTTTTATTCTGCATCAGTTCATGTAAGGCTTGCCAAGTTTATCTGAATTCCTTGTACTTATTATTTCCTGCAATGCTGTAATTTCGCCCTACATTCACATGTCTCAATTTGTTCAGACCTTCTCCACCTCGTAGGCACTCACTTTCCTTCCAGTTTTTTGCTACTACAAAAATGCTACTAGAAACATTTTTGTACACACACACACACACACACACACGTATATATGTATGTATACATATATACACACACACATATAAAACCTTCCCCTCTATCTCTGGCCTCCTGGTAAGTGACATCATTGGTCAAAGGATATGTGCAGTGAAATTACTTTTTACCCCTTATTTTTATTACACACACACACACACACACACACACACACACACACACGCACACACACACACTTCCCCCAATTACACGTTAAAACAATTTTTTAACATTTGTTTTTTTTAAGCTTTGATTTTCAAATTCTATCTCTCCCTTCTCCTCTACCCCCTCTGTGAAATGGTGAGCAATAAGATATAGGCTATACATATGCAATCGTGTAAAGTATTTCTATATTCATCATTTTGTACAAGAAGACTCAAATAAGAGAAAAAGAATTCCAAAGTGATTTCCAGAGTGGTTGGACTGATTAACTTATCCATCAACAGTGTGTTTGAGTTTTGGTATGTTCAACACCTCCCCCCCTTCCCCTTCCCCTAGTATTTGCCATTTTTTGTCTTTTGTCACTTTCAAATACATGAGTATGTGGCAAAACTTCAGGACTGCTTAATTTGCATTTATTGTATTTTTAGTGATTTGTTGCATTCTTAACATGACTACTGACAGCGTGCATTTCTTCCTTTGAAAACTGCCTGTTCACAGCCCTTTCCATAGTCATCTCCTGGGGACTCCTTATACCAAAGCATTTTATTTCTACTCTCATTTGGTCCTTCCATTATGTCTATAAGGAGGACAATGCAAGGATTATTGACCGTGTATATACTCTGCTTAAGAAATGCTTGTTGTCTTGAATTGGAATATTTGTAAAGAATAAACAGGCTGGCAGAGAGGGGGTGACTGTATCCAAGGCTACCCATACAGTCGGTGGCAAAGCTGGGACCACAACCTAGGTTTCCTGACTCCTTATTCAGTGCTCTTTCCAGTATGCAATGTGGCTTTTCAATAATGCATTTATTATTGTTATTATTTGTGTTACTTTCAGAACTCTAAAAACAATCCGCTGGCCACATCAGTGCTGGGGAGCCTGATTCCTGAGGTCTGTTTCTGGGATGTCTGTCTCTGCATCTGGTTGATGGTGACAAGGGGCTAGGGATAGTATGATCCTTATTTGCTGGGCAATGGGGTACGTGTGTGGCGCTGTCCTGATGGGTAATATCTTTGTTGTTGTTGAGTCATTTCAGACTCTTTGTGACCCCATTTGGGGTTTCCTTGGCAAAGACACTGGAGTGGTTTGCGATTTCCTTTTCCACCTCATTTTACAGATCAGAAAACTGAGGCAAACAGGGTTAAGTGACTTGCCCAGGGTCACACAGCTAGTAAGTGTCTGAAGCTAGATTTGAACTCAAGAGGATGAGTCTTCCTGGTTCCAACCCAGTGCTCTATCCAGTGTACCACCCTTAAGGGTGGGCTTAAGCCCAGTCTTATTGCTTGTTCTTAGTGGGACAGGGTTGACCACAGGCTTAGTAACTAAAGCCCATGACTGGGGCTGTGGATGAGCACTTATGGCCTCCATTTTTCCCTTTCTATTCTGCAACAAAGATAGGAAGATGATTGTCCTTGGGACATCCTGTACCATAGGAGGTATGTCTGTATTTCTAGGATCTGGCAGGAATCCTGAAGGCTCCTCTTTCTCTTTGCCTTCCACAGGTCCAACACCAATTCCCTAAGTCCATGCCCATAACGATGAAGGCTCGGATCAGTACTTCACCCTCCCCTACGATCCACAGAAACAGAACATCATTAATGCTCAATTACCTTATGGAGGTCTTGGCTATCTCCTCTAACTCAGCCTTCAAGTCCCTCTTCTCTCTGGATATGGTAAGGATCAGGATGGAATAGCTGACTCTAAGTTCTGCCTATTTCCTCTCCAATCTGGCCAGTCCTCTAAAGCATACTACACAGGCTGGGTACTGAGCTCATGGATTCACTCATCTTTGCCAGGGGCATGTGAGGTAGGGACAGATGTCATCATCATTTCCATTCCACAGATCAGAGTCCTGAGATTCAGTGATGTTAAATGAATTGGTTAAGTACACATGAAAGAATACTCTGTATTTTAACAGGCAAGGGGATGGGTGGAGAGGTTGAAGTTGAGGACTTTGGGACAGGAGAGAATTCTACCTGTAAGAAACAGCATGTCCTAGGGTTCTTTCCAGCTCTGACATTCATTTTTTTAAAATTAAATTCATTTACTTATTTATTTTTAGTTTTAAACATTCACTTTCATAAGATTTTGAGTTCTAAATTTTTCCCCTTCTTTCCCCTCCCCCTTTCAGAAGACAGTATGCAATCTAAAATAGGCTATATATGTACAATTATATTAAAGATATTTCCACATTAGTCATGTTGTGAAAGAAGAATCAGAACAAAAGGGAGAAACCACGCAGCTCTGACATTCTATCTTATAAGATCACTTCCAGTTCTGACGTCCCAAGTTATAAGGTCCTTTTCAACTTGGGCATTCTCTATTCTAAGATCAATTACTTCTGAAAGTTTATACTTCAAGGCCCTTTTCATCGCTAAATTTCATCCTGCCTATCTCTGAACTGCTATGTAGTTAAGTCATTTCTTCTTGTGACGTTCTGTGTTTCTTGGGTAGATTCCAGTTCTGACATCCTGTTCAAAGGCTCTAATATTTCGTATTCTAGGATACCTTCCAGATCAAAGACTCATAGACTCTCAAAACTGGAAAAGATCTCAGTAGCCAACTAGTCCAACGTAGAGTTGACTATGAATCCCTTTTCCATCACCCTTGACAATCACTTCGACAACATCATCCATCCTCAACTTTAAAAACTCCTCAGGGAGGGACAATCCATTAATTCCCAAGGCAGCTCCTAAGGTCTCCTGTTGGACTTGTCTTATTACTAGGGTGTTTTACTCACATAGTGCCAAAATATGCCACTTCTGAAAATTTCCCCCATTGTTACTCTTTCTAGTTTCTGGAGACCAAGCAGAATAACTAGATCTTAAGCAGGCCTTCTGTCAAATGACAATTCTGTAAATACTTGAAGGCAACTAGCATGTTCCCCACTGAATCTTTTCTTCTCCTGGCTGAATAAACATAGTTTCTTTAATGAATCCTTCTATGACAAGTACTCCAGTCCTCTCAGCATCCTGGTTGCCTTGCTCTATATGTATTCTGTTCTTTCAACGTCCTTCTAAAATATGATGTGCAGAATGGAACAAAATACTCAGTATTTGTCTGACTAATAATAATAATAATAATAGATAACATTTTTATAGTGCTTACTGTGTGCCTGGCACTGTGCTAAACACTTTACAATTATTATTTCATTTGATCCCCACAATAACACTGGGAGGTAGTTGCTATTACTTATCCCCATTTTACAAAAGATGACAGCAAGGCAGTCAGAGAGGTTAAGTGACTTGCCTGAGATTACACAGCTGGTAAGTGTCTCACGTGGAATTTGAACTCATTTTCTCCTGAATCCAGGCCTGACTCTCCATCTACTGCAGCACCTAGCTGCCCTGCTAGGTGACTAAGGCCAGCGTAGAGTAGGACTGTCACTTCCTTCATTCTAGGCACAATGCCTCACTTCATGCATGCTAGGAGCTTTGACCTACCATGTGACGCTGTTGATTCCTAATAAGATTGTAGTTCACTAACAGGATCAGATCTTTCTTCCTCACATAATTTGTTATCTCATGAACCCTCCTTTGCTTAAGAGGCTGATTTTTTAAAGTCTATGTTGAACTTTACATTTATCCCTATCAAATGTTATCCTAATAACTTCAATTCATCATCCTAGCTCTCTGTGATCTTTTTGTATCTTGATTTTGTCATTCAGTATGTTAGCTATCTCAACTTTATGTCATCTGAAATTTTGATATGCATGCTCTCTTGATGGAGTCTTCCAAGTCACTAATATAGGAAGTTAAATTGTGTAAGGCCGAGGTCAATGCTATAGGACATGCCACTGGAACCCTTCCATCATTCAGTCCAACCTAGTCCAAACTATTAAATGTCTACTTGACTCTTGGTAACAGGAGAAATCCTGATCTGAGAATGGTGCTAGACACTGAGGAAAAAAAAGACAAAATGAAAAATCAGTCCCCACCCTTCCTGTTGACATTAACCCATTAATGCCTTGGGTAGTGTCCTTTAACTAGCTCACGATATACTTACCTAAACTATCTATGTGTTTTGTCTATGAAAATGATAGAGAAACTTTGTCAAATTTTTGCTCAAATCTAGGTAAATTTTATCTATATCAGTCCCTTGATTTATTGGTCTAGTAGCTCTATCAGTGAAGACAGGAAATGAGTTTGACTAAAGAAAAGACCCTCTTAGAGCCTGTCCCTAGGATTGGAATGGGGGGGACCTCTGAACCTAGAGTTTTAGGAAAGGCCCCAGGCCATGGTTTACAATAGATTTAGAGCAACTCACCAGAGAGAGCTGATTTCAGAGTAAGATCAATTATATTCTATCACCTTTGTACACGGCAACTTGTTGAGCTGCTCCTAATCACTGAGTAACCACTTTCTTTCTGTTTCTTTGCTGTCACAAAAAGTGCTGCTGCAAACATGTTGGTATATATGGGGCTTTATTTTGCGACTTTGATACCCTTGGGTCATACAGGGATGTGCTGGAGCAAGCTCGAATGAGCTCAAGAGAGCTAATCGTTAAATTTTCGGTGTGAGAATTCACATCTCAGAAATAGGCAAATACTAAAAATCAGGATTTGATTTATTGTCTAGACTTAATAAAGAGATGGGGAAATATAAATAATGCAGATTAAACTTAAAAGTTTGTTGTGTGTACACCTCCCTTCCCCCCAGAGGGCTGGTTGTTAAACATTTACCAGCACACTCCTCAATATACCCATTAGAAGAAAAATAAATGTAGTGAAATATAGAAAAAGAAAAAAAAATTACCAGTGGTGATATTTTTGGATCAAAGAGTATGAAAAGTTGAATGATTCTTCTCACATTATTCTAATTTTTTTTTTCCAGAATGGTAGGATCAATTTCCATAATGGTTATGCTGTTTTGGAAAAAAAAAAGTTTTATTGATGTCTTTTGTTCTTATATCACAGTCATTTCTGGAAATAGTTCCTCCTTCTTACTGTACTCTCAAAATTAAATTCTTCCCTTGTTCTTGCAATGGATCCAACATTCTGCCTTAAGTAGTCTCTTGCTTCTGCTAAAAGGAGAGAGTTTTGCTTCATTACTGTTTCTCTGAGTTGTTGTTGATTTTTCATTTACTCCAAACTCAGTACCCTTTTAGTCATTAAAAAAACAACTTACTTTGTAATCATTGTATATTTTTCCTTTTGGATCTACTTATTTCATTCTATACCAATTCAGACAGTGAATTACTTATTCTTGATGAAATAATTCTGGCTCTTATTGACTATCATTTTCATCACAAATTGTTCCTTTAATAATCTGTTCTATAATTCTGCCAGAAATTTAAGTTAAACTCATTAGTTTCTAGTTTTCAGACTTGCTTCCAGATTTTGGTGCAGCCCTAGAGTTTCAGAGTTGGAAGGGAACTCAGAGGCTATCTAATGTAATCAAATCCACATGTAGCAAAGAATTCCCTCTGTAACATCTGAAAAGTAGTCACCTAGCCTCTGTTTATAGATCACCAAATGAGGAGGAAACTGTTGCTTCCTAAGGCTAGTCATTACATTTGAGGATACTTCTAATTGTTAGGAAGTTTTCTCCTAACATAAACCCAAATTTGTCCTTTCGCAGCTTCTACTCCTAATTCTCCTCGGAGTCCAACATTTATCTCCAATTCTTCAGTAGCTCTCCATTATCTTTCCAAAATCACTCATGGTGGCATAGCAATCATACTCCTCAGTTGCTTCAGTACATTGGGATAAAGGTTTTCCATATATAGTGACTGGAACTCATTGAGAGCAGTTAGTGTTTGTAGATTTCAATTTCCTTTTAATCATTTTTCTTCTTCTGTAAGAAAATTTTCAGTGCCTTGGTTGCTACTATCTTGGTTGGTAGTTGTCACTTGTGCTTGAAAAGGACCAAAATGACATGGCTATAGTGGGGTCAAGGTACAGTTGGGGATCACAGGAATGTCATTATCCTCTCTAGACCTCAGTTTCCTCTTTGGTAAAATGTGATGATCCCTCACACATAGAACTAGATGATGTCTAAGGTGCTCTCCAGCTCTGATAGTATATCATTCTTCGAAAAATTATCGGATCGTAGATGTAAGCTGGGAAGAGACTTTGGAGGACATCTAGTCCACACCTCCCATTGTATAGATGAGGAAACTGAGGCACAGAAAGGTGAAGTGACCTGCTTGAGGTTATACAGGTAGTAAGTAGCAGAGGCAGGATTGAATCCAAGACCAATTTTATCTCCACTGTACCATATTGCCTCCCCAAAGGACCTTAGAGACCAATGAGTACAATTCCCTCATTTTAAAGATGGGTAAATTATGCTTAATATTTAACGTTCAGTGGTCTTTGTTTTCTTCCTTTTTGCCATCACATTCTTCTACCCTCCAACTTTCTGACAATGGTTAGGATTCCCCTCTTCCTCATTGTATCCTTTTTCATCTTTGTTTTTTCCTTACAATATTTAATCCTTCTCCCTAATGCATTGCTTGTGGTCCCCCAAACTTGTTGCTTTCCTCTAGTGGCTCATGTCAGAGAAAGGGCAAGTGCTTTGAATAAACTTATATGTATATATGTTGCACACGTGATAGAATGCAAGCTTCTTGAGGGCAAGAACTAGTTCATTTTTTTTCTGTGTGTTCCCAGTGTCTAGCAGAGATCTTGGCACATAGTAACCATTTAATAAATATTTGTTGATGGGTTGAATGAGGGTACAAAGTCCCGCAAATCCAGAGCTATAGGTACAGAGATGATGGCTGGTTACGGTTTTTTCCCTTTTCTCCTATCAGTTTCCCCACATCCTCATCCTGCCACTTGCAATACTCTGAGTATGTCTTTGAAGACTAGTATGCTTATGTGGTTAAGTAAGCTATTCCTCCTTCCTTGACTCTCCTTTCCCTTTTCATTGAAGGTTGTGGAACTGAAGCTCAACGTCACTATATCTGGAAAGAAGCTGCAGGCTAGTGTATCATTCCTGAAGTGAGGAACAGCTCCTGCAGCCACATGGGTGCAAGGCAAAGGGTAGCCAGGATTGCCCAGAACCTAATGAGCTCGTGGAAAGAGCTCAGGATTTGGAATAGAAGAAGCTGGCTTCAAATCTTGTCTCCTCTACCCACTACCTACCTGGGCAACTCTGGGCAAATCATTTAAACACTTGGGCTCTCAATTTCCTCATTTGTTAAAAAGAGGGGGACTGGATTCTATGATCTCTAAAGTTTCCTCCATTTCTGAATTTCATGATCCAGTGAAAGAGGCACTGGACTAAAAATCCAGAGTCTTGGGTTCAAATCTCAGCCATATTGTTGGCTTGTGTGTTCCTGGGAAAGCCAAATTTTGGGTTTTATTTTCCTTGTTTGCAAAATGAGAGAGTCACATTAGGTCATCTTCAAGGTTCCTCCCAGCTCTGAAATTATATAATATAGCATAGTGAATAGTCAAAGGAGTTAGGTACTATTCACACCTTGACTGCTCATACGCAGCCTTCTTAAATGACTGCCTTCTTAGCCCTGTTTTCTTATGCTCCTGTGAACTTCACCCTCCATCTATAAAATGGTCTTGATGATCTCTGCCCTGCCCTCCTCCAAAGCCATAGTGAGGACTGAATGAAGTGTGAGAGTGAAAGCCTTTTGTAACCTGTAAAGTACCAAAGGGAATGTGAGGGAGAATCAATATTATGAGAGAAGACAGTTGAATAGAAATCATGCATAGGCTTTTGTGGCCCCAAAAGAGAGGTAGAAGTATCTTCTTGGCTTATTTCCAGTGCAAATGCCATCAGATCAATATCTATATATCTCTCCTCCTTTTCCCCAGTGATTTTGTTGCTAACACTGGGTAAAAAGGAATCAGATGATACTACCAGGTGAGACATGCTTTTAGCTCCTCCCACCCTCCCCAAAGCAGAAGATTTGGGAATCTAGAGCTTCTAAAGGCTTAGGAAGAGCTTAGGAAGAGTCAAACAGGTAAACAGTGGCTGAGTCTTTCATTTGTTTTAATTTAATTAAGTCAGAAGTTCTTGTGTGTGTGTGTGTGTGTGTGTGTGTGTGTGTGTGTGTGTGCGTGTGTGTGTGTGTGTGTGTGTGTGTATGTGTGCATGTGGTAGCCTGGTGAAGCCTATGGAACCCTTATCAGAACAATGTTTTAAAATTCCTAAAATAATAGGACTACAAAGGAAAGTAATTATATTGAAATTCAATCATCCAATTTTTCTTTTTTAAAAAGGTACATGGACCTCAAGTCAAGAATCCCTGCTTGAACACATTCCACACTTCTTTGAGGGAAGGCAAACCCATTTCTAGTTTATATTTAGGAATCTCTCAACTTAGGACCTTAGAGATCTAGTTTGACCTCCTCATTTTCCAAAGAAGGAAACTGAGGCACGAAGAAGAAGAGGCTCTCTAACGATCACATAGGGATTTAGTGGCAAAGTTAGGATCAGAATCCAGGTGTCTAGATTCCTGAGCCAGGAGTATGTTCCCTCATGGCATGATTGCCTTTTTTTTTTTTAAAGCTTGTTTACCAAATCAGATCATCTGTGGATTGGAAGGAGTTATGTCTGTGCGTAGTTAGGTGGAGAAGAGTATGAAGAAAGAGATGAAGCTCTGATGCTAAGACCAGTGTTTAGAACAGTGTCTGGTATACAGTGGGTACTTAATAAAATCTGGTTGACTGATGTTGACTTAATAAGGAGGGCTACCTGCCTCATCTGTTTTTTGTGATTGTTTTCTAGGGATATCGAGCTCAAAGTGAATTCCTCCAATGTGGGTACTTTTGATGTAAGTATTTAAGAAAACACTTCAGCATAGCAGTAAACATGTGCTAAACTCTGAAGGATAGAATTTTAATAGATGTTGATTTCATGCAGAAAATAAAAAACAGAGTAAGCAAAGACATGAAGGAAAGACTGAAGACAAACTCAAGGAATAGCAACTAGGTGATACAGTAGAGCATCAGGCTTGAAGTCAGGAAGACCTGAGTTCAAATTTAGCCTTGGACACTGACTAGCTGTGGGACCCTGGGCAAGTCTTTTAACTATTTGCCTCAATTTACTCATCTGTTAAATGAGATTAATAATAAAAGCTTCTTCCCTGGGTTGTTGTGAGGTTAAAATGAGATCATATTTGTAAACAGCTTTAAAAGCACTATATAAACGCTAGTTATTATTATCCAGTGTTGCTACTATGCGTATAATAACTAGCGTTAATATAGCACTTTAAGGTTTGCAAAGCTCTTTACAAACATTTCATTTTATCATCACAATAACCTCTGGAGGTAGGCATTGCTATTATCCTCATTTTATAGTTGTGGAAACTAAGGTAGATAGAGGTTAAGTGACTTTCTTAGGGTCACACAGCTAGTATGTGTCTGAGGCTGAATTTGAACTCAGGTTTTCCTGAATTGAAGTCCAGCGCTCTAAGCACTGCACCACCTAGCTGTATTTGAGATTAGAGGGAGATGAGGTTGGAGTGGTCAGCTGGGGCTTGAATGTGGATCCCAGAATCATAGGACTTAGAACTGGAAAGGCCTTTAGAAATGATGCACTTTAATCCATAGGCTCTATAGTTAGAGAACTTTGACTGGGATCTTGGCTCTGCCATTTATGACCTGTGTGACCTTGGACAAATCATTTAATCTTGTTGAGCCTCAGTTTCTCCACCTGTAAAATGAGAAGGCTGTACTAGACTACCCCTGAGGTCTCTGTCAGCTCCAAACTGGTTATTCTAGGATGGTATAGATGAAGAAGTTGACCTCCCAGAAAGGGGAAGGGACTTATACAAGGTCACACAGATAGTAAATAAATAGCAGAGCCAGGATGTGAACCCTGGGTGTCAGGCAAGAGAGTTTAGATTGCATCATATGGGTCAAGGAGAGCCATGGAATGTAATGAGGAGGGGAGAGACATATTTGGCTTTGTTTTGGGAACAGAGTCTTCTCAGCCTGCCCATTTGTTTCTCTCCTTTGCTTCCCCTCATCTCACCAACACTGGTTTATGGCACCCTGATTTGTCTGACACCGGGAACGCACCTTTCTGGTATCTGGTGCCAGCTGTCACGGGTGAAGGCTTTAATGATATCCATGGTCAAGAAGTCCCTGAGTGATCACCTGAATGGTAAGAACCTCAGCCATGGAAAAAAGCACGTGTAGCTCTGGGAGACAAGGCGCCTTTGGGCGGTGCATCTCAGAGAATGTCTGCTAGTTTAGGAAGCAAAATGGAGAATCTGGCACAATACTGTAGACACCTTCCTAAGAGAAATGTGGTGTAGAGAAAAGAGGCTGAATCTGGGGTCAGAGGAACTGGGTTAAAATCTGGGCTCTGCCACTTAACCTCTGGGCCTCAGTTTCTTCATCTGTAAAGTGAGGGGGCTGGACCAGATATCTAAGAGTTCTTCTAGATGTAAGGTCCATCACCTTCTGATCCTTTATACAGGTTTGGCCGGGGGCAGAATAAAAGTATTCATTTATTTATTCAATATATGGAGACTGAGGGGGAGGTGATTGATCGATTTAAAATCCCAAGAGAGTGATTAGGGTAAACATGGGTTTATTCCTCCTCTCTCCCCCTAAATCCCAGAATCTCAAAGTTGGCAACTTTAGAGATTATCTACGTCTATGCGGTATCCCCTTAATGGTATCTTTGACTAGAGGTGGGGGAAATCTATGATTCTTTGAAAGTTACCAAGTTCATGCTTATGTGTCTACAGTGATGGGGAACTCTCACCTCTGAAGGTAGCTCATTCTGTTCTCGGAAGGGGAAGGGAACAAACATTTATTAAGTGCCTACTGTGTGCTAAGTGCTTTACAAATATCTCATTTGATCCTCACAACAACCCTATGAGATAAGTGCTATTATTATCTGCATTTTTACAGTTGAAGAAACTGAGGCAGTCCAGAGGTTGTGAGTTGCCCAGAGTCACATAAGTCACAGATATCTGAGGCTGGATTTGAACCCAGGTCTTCCTGACTCAAGAGTACTCTATCCACTGAGTCTTCCAGCTGGATAGTTAATGGGTTAAGTTCTTTATATGAGGCTAGATTCTATCTCCATGTAACTTTCTCTGCTGGTTCTAGGTCTTCCACTTGAGAGAAAAGCAAAACAAGTCTGGTTTCTTTTCTCTGTGATATCTTTTCAGGTGTTTGAAGATCACATTCCCAGTTGAAGTCTTTTCTTCTTCCAGAGGAAATATTCCCAGTTCATGCAACTAAGCATTTTGTGGCATAATTTCAAGTCTCCTTTCTGGTTGCTCTCCTCTAGACATGTTCTAGTTTCTACATTCATGGATAATAGATTTAGAGCTGCAAAGGCACCTTAGAAGCCAACCAGTTCAGTCCCTTTATTTTGCAGATGATGAAACTAAGAGAGAGCATAAGTGACTTGCTGAAGGTCACTCAGGTAACTAGTGGCAGGGCCGGCATATAAAACAGGTCCTACTTTCTTTCAATTGAACTCTCTTGCTTGGGAACATGGCTGAGTTGGCAATGTTGGACCCTGAGTTAAAATGGAAATTACAGGATGACTCCTGGAATCTTACCTCCTCATCTGGTGACATTTGGATTTCAATTTTGGGAAGGCCATGTCTGGAGCAGCATATGGGGTCTATGCATTCATAAGGAAATTCAAATGATTGTTTTTGGCATGGGAGGAGGTCATTTTGTTTGAGTGTCCAGGGGAAGGACACAACTGATTGTGGGTTTTTTTTCTCTTTCATAGCACTCTTTGGCTTGGGAGTCACTCTTCCCACCATTGCTAAAGTGAGCTACATCACCCCTGAGGTCTTTATGTATGAGGTAAGAATGATTTAAATTAGGTTTTGGCATCTTCTGTCAAGGCCTGGCCTTGTGTCCTCATGACTCTTGGTTGGGGTTGGGGGCATGGGTGTGGCATGGGTAGGATGGAGACACAAAGAGGTAGGAAATATTAAGGGGTGACAGGCTTTAGAACTAGAAAGAACTAGGGCCCATCTATCCCAGCCCTTTCATTTTGCAGGTAAGGAAGCGAAAGCCTAGAGAAAATAATGAGGTTACACATCTGAGTGTTAGAGTCAACCCCGGATTTAGTGCTCTTTCTATCTTACCGTATTGGCTCCTACAGAGTCCAGTCTCTGCTGCTTACGTGTGCAGACAGCTTAGGAAGAGTGGTCCCAACTTAGGGGAGCCAGGTTTAATAGGAAACAGACTCATATTCTGGGAAGGAAGGGAACAAATTAACGACCAGGAAACCATGAGTAGGTCCAGAGGTTCATAGGATCATGGATTTAGAGCTTAGAAGAGGGTCATCTGGATCTATTCCCCACACTTTATAGATGAGGAAACTGAGGTCCATAGCTTTTAAATGACTTCTCTGAGTAATAAGTGGACAGAGCTGAGATTTAAATCAAAGTACTCTAACTCTATAGCCAATGATCTTCCCTCTTGAGGTTAAAAACAATTCTAACTTGGCTTGCTAGAAGAAGAGTTGGGACTGAAGTTAGGATGTCTGAGATTTAGTCTTTGCTATGCTACTAATTAGTTGTGTTTCCTCACCAATAAAATGGAGATAATAGTTTATAAGTTTTCATACATTTAACATAAGATTTAACATAGGATTCAGATCTAGAAAGGACCTCCGAGATCATTCAGTGCAGCAGTTTTCGAAGTAAGGTGGGGATCCATAGGTGAGATTCCTGAGACCCTATTTGAGGGTCATAAAGGTCAAAACTATTTTCATAATAATACTTTGACATTTAATTTTTAATTTGGCAAATATCAGTAGCTAAAACCTACGTAAACTAAACAAAAGCTCTTTGGGAGGGTTTCCAATAATTTTTAAGAGGGTAAAGGGGTCCTAAAAAGCTTGAGAACTGCCCCTCCTAGTCTGACCTCCTCATCTTATAGAAGGGAAGTGACAGCTTGTAAAGGTCAGAGCTTGAATTCAAACTCGTCTCTCGAGCCCCAGTTCTGTGCTCTTTCCGTGACATCATGTGACCTTTTGCTCTATTTATAACAAACTCCTCATGCCAGGCTTACATATAGAGCTTTTCAAGACTTTCATGTATCCATTACTTCTATAAGGCGTGAAAAACAGTTATGTTCACGTGACAGATTTAAAAACTGAGGCCACATGTTGAAGTACAATAATCACTGGATTTGAAATCAGAAGACCTGAGTTACAGTCCTTTGCCTGCCTTTTACTAGGAGCATAGAATTTATCCTGAGTGGGGCCTTAGAGATTTTCTGGTCCAATCCCCTCATTTTTTAATTTTAGACTCTAACACCAGACCTCAAATACAGAATAGAGAAAAGAAAAAGAAACACATCATAAACTTAAATATTGAAACTTAAATACGAAGTAAGAAAAGAAAAAGCATGAGATGTGCACTGAAGAACACAAGAGATGATTCAAATATATATATATATATATAGTAGCAATAAATTTTCATTTCAAGAAGGCCTGTATGAGAAATACTACACATTGTGTTGAGAGCTGTCCATCTTTTCTTTGCTTCCTTATAAGCTTTCTTTTGTTCTCTGCTGTGTACTTTTTACTTTTTTCTTTTTTCCCCCTCTTCTCCCCCCCCCAGGCTACAATTAAATATGTATATGCATTTCTTTTTAGATATGTACACACATATAGATATACACACACACCCATGCATACATACATATGTACACACACACACACACACACACACACACACACACACACACATACACGTACCTTCCCTAACAAATTCTACTCCTGATCTTTGTTTGTGTGTCTCTTATTTCCTTCCCTTCCTATCTCTTCTTCTTTACTTCTACCTGCTACCTTGCCCTCCTGTTACTTAGTCTATCACCCACCAAGGATCCCTCCCCTAACCTCCCATACCCATAAATCTAAATACCCTTCTATAACTCCCATAACCTATTCCCTCACCCTCCCCTGTAGATATCCCTCCCATATCCTCTCCCCCCTCCCTATCCCCTTATCATTTTATTTCTTCTGAATATAGAAGACTTTTATACTCTTCTAGATATATATGCATTATTCCCTCTTAAACCCATTCCTGATAAAAGTAGGTTACCAAAACTACCAGCTCTCCTCCCCCATCTAATTCCTCTGCATTGATTCTTCCTCTTGCATCTCATTTGTATAAAATAATTACTCTTTTTAGCTGTTGCTAAGTGGTTTTACTTTTTAATGTTACATTGTACTCAGGTCTACCCCAGTCTTTCTTACGAACTACCCAATTACTAATGACAATGTTAGACATATGTTTTACTTTTTACATATATAAAAGGTAAACAGTCTATTCATATTGAATCCCTTGGAATCAGTTTTTGGTGTGTACCTTGTGTTTCTCTTGGCTCTTGCATGTTAAATCTTATATTAAGTTCAGCCTTTTTTTTTTTAAACAAAATTCTGAAAGTCTGACAGTTGATTGAATATCCATTTTTTTCCCCTTCAGGGTTATGCTTAACTTTGCTGTGTATGATATTTTGGGCCAGAAACCCAGTTCTTTGGCTCTTTGATATATAGTGTTCTAAGACCTGCTGTCCTTTAGCATCTCCACTGCTAGGTCTTGTGTGATTCTAATTGTGACGCTGTCTTATTTAAATTATTTTTTTTCTTTTTGCTCTTAATATTTTATTCTTGAACAGGGGTTTTGGAGTTTGACTATAATATTCCTATGAGTTTCCTCATAGTATCTCTTTCAAGTGATGATCAATGGATTTTTATGTTTCTCCTTTTCCTCTCTTGTTCTAATGCTTCAGGACAATTTTCTTTAATTATTTCTTGTATCATTGTATCAAAATTCTTTTTTTGATCATAGCTTTCAGGTATCCTGATTAATCTTATGTTTTCTCTTCTTGATCTATTTTCCAGATCAGTTGTTTTTCTTATGTTTCATTTTCTCTTCTACTTTTTTCATTCTTCATATTTTGTTTAATTATTTCTTGATCTCTTATAACTTCACTGGTTTCACCTTGCCCAATTCTAATTTTCGAGGTGTCATTTTCTTCCTTAAGATTCTGGATCTCCTTTTCTAATTGGTTGACATTCTTTTCTTAATCTTCTTGTTTTTTTCTTGGGTTATTCTAATTTATTTATTTATTTTTTAAAGTTTTTCCTCAGTCTCTCTCATTTGATTTTTTAAGTCTTTCTTAAGTTCTTCAATGAATTCTCTTTGGGCAGGTGACTGCTTGACATTACTCTCTGGGGGTAGAAGAGGGTTTCTTTGCTTCAATATCCTTCTCTGAAGGTGAACCCTGGTCTTCTATATTCCCACAATAACTTTCTATGGTTGGATTCTTTCTTCTTTGCCTGTGCTTTTTTTTTTTGGAGTAATAGCTTATTTTTTGTAATCACCTCTAGCCCTTGGATATGGGGGATGGTGCCTCTTGCCCCAGATCTTCAGTTCTTCCCTCTAGCCTGGAACCAAACCAAACCTCCAGCCTCTTGTAAGTGCCCACAGCCAGGGGCATTTTGCCTCACTGCTTCTGTATTCACCTGGCATGTGCTAGCTCCTTCTCCCCTGGCCGCTGTCCGAAGCACAGCTGATCTGGCATTCCTTGTCAGAAGAAGTTCCCTAGATCTTTTTCCAGGTCAGACACCCAACTCCCCTCACAGTCCCCTGGAGTAAAAGTTCCTGTGGCTGGGGTCAAGGCAGCCTCCCAACCCAGCTAACCCCAGAGTTTGCTGCTTGTTGTTTAAGCCCACTTGTTAAAGTGGACCCTATTTTTCTTCAGATCTTCTTAGATTGTCCAAGGGGGATCCCTGTTATGCCCCTATTCTTATTTATGTTTACTCACACTTTGTTCACTCTGAGGTGCTATTTTATTTCTTTTTGTGGGGGAAAATCTTCAGAGGTTGGAATTTTCTGACCTACTCTGCCATCTTCCCAGAATTCTCTACCCACCTCATTTTTCAGTTGAGACAACAGAGGACAGGAGGAGTTAGCTGACTTGTCCTAGGTCACCCAGGTAATAAACAACAGAGCTGGGATTTCAATCAAGGTCTTCTAATGCCAAATCCAATACTGTTTTTCACATTATAAGTTCAGTGCTTTGGGGCAAAAAAATTCCCCTTTGGGTGGGGCATGGCAGTGCATACCTGTAGTCTCTGCTGTTAGGGAAACTGAGGCTAGTGGATCTCTTAAGTTTGGGAGTTCTGAGCTGCAGCAGGGCTAAATGCAATCACACTAAAGGCATCCACACTACATATGGAACCAATGTGGCGAGCCCTCAGGGTTGGGGAGTAGGAAGGCTATCAAGCTGCCTAATGAGGAGGAATCAAGCCCACATTGGAAATGGAGCAGGTCAAAGCTTATGTGTTGATTAGTAGAGGGATGAGTCCATTAGTGACCACTGGTTGAGATAGGGAAACCCAGTCTCAAAACAAAACCAAAACTTTCCCTCTCTGGGCTTCAGTCTCCTTCTCTGAAAAATTAGGGGGTTGTATGAGATGAACTCTTAAGGCCATATTCAGTCTCTAATCTGTGCTTCAATGGTTCTAGGCCCAGAGAAGTTAAGAGATTTGTCTACTTCATATAGCAAGTTAGTGGGAAGTCTAGGACTAGATGTTGAGTTTCTTTATTTCTGTGAGCCTTTGGGGTACACTACTAGGGTAACTCTAAACTTTCTTCTGGTTTCCCATAATGTAAACTTGTTTTCTCTGCCTGTCAGGATTCTATTGTGGTGTCCTGTGGACTTCATATCCAGAATTGAGCAAGGAGAAGAACATGGAGCTATGAGAGGCTGCTGGTCAGGGCAAGCTGTGCTGAACTGGACCTCTCTTGTTTGGCCATTCTATACTTTGGATGAATATCAAATCCAAAATTTCTTCAATGCTCTGAATCCTATTTTTGTTAGCTATGTGATCATAAGGTTAATACTGCTGTACCTGCCTGGAATTTTTTCTTCCTTCCCTCATTTTTTCAAAATCTCCTCTGGAGGAGGAACATACAGCTAGATGGACTCTAAGGATACTCCTACTTCTTTCCCATCCCATAATAAATAATTCCTCTAATGTAACAATTTCCAGGCTAAGTCTGTTGAGGTCTTTATGTTTTGGGATCAATTGCTGTGGATACTTCTCTTTCTGGGATCACATTGCCCAATGCATTTTTGATTCTTTGGTTGAATCACAAAGTAGCAGCAATGTCTTTTAAGCAACCTTGATATATGTAGAACCATCCTAGACACAATGATAATATGAGAGAAACAGAAAACCAAAGACCCATTCCTTAAGAGCTGTCCAGCAGGGCTAGCCCTTTGGTAAAAATGGGGAAATAGGTGATCATTGTCATGAAGATTCTTCCGTCTGGGAGGAAATTGTGTTAGGAACTTAAAGAAAGAACTTAATCTGGAGAAGGGGGAATCTGGGGAAGAGTGAGTGGCATGATTAACGCCTTCAAGTATTAGAAGGATTGTCAATGGGGAGAAATGTAAGCCAAAAAAGCTAATGTTCTCTAGCACTGAGAATGTCTACAATGCTAGAAGTGTGTTTGGGTGTCCTCTGTACTGGTCAGACAAAGTCTGACCTCAAGTCTGGATGCCACATTTTAGGAAGGACATTGATAAACTAGAGAGCTTCCAGAGGAGGGCAACCAGGGTGAGAAATGACCTCGAATGACAAGTTGAAGGAACTGGAATGATTTAGCCTGTAAAAGGGAAGTTTCAGGGGTTTATAAGATCTGTCAAGGATTTGAAGAGCTGTCATATGAAAGTCTTGCTCTGCATGTCCCCAGGAGGCAGACCTAGGAGCGATGGATAGAACTGGCAGAAAGGGAGATTTTTGACTCAGTGTAAAGAGAAACTTCCTCATGATCAGGTCTATCCAAGAGGTAGCAGTGGATAGAGCTCCAGCCTTGGAGTCAGGAGGACCCAAGTTCAAATCCGACCTCAGACACTTGACACTTACTAGCTGTGTGACCCTGAGCAAGTCACTTAACCCTAACTGCCTCACCAAAAAACAAAACAAAAAAAACCCAACACCCCCCCCCCAAAAAAAAACCCAAAACACAAAAATTGGGTGGGTAGTCTTGGGAAGTCTTCATGTAGAGGTAGGATGACTGCTCACCAGGGAAGTTGCAGAGGAGATTTCTGCTCAAGTATAGGTTAATCTGTGGGGTTCTTTCCATCTCTGAGATTTTGTGATATTAAGGGTGAAGATTGACAGAGGGAGAGGTAGCAGTAAGCAAGGGAAGCTGTCTGGATACCAGGGTATGGGCTGTTGAATTTATTTTATATGATATTACTCATTCGTGCGTTAAACAACTCATTAATCTATTCATTAATAATAAAATTATTGTAGTAACAGTAATAAAGTGTTTGGACTCAATATATGAAAAATTCTTAACATACACAAAGGCAAGAAAGAGACTGAAGGTTTTGACCTTAAATCTGGAGGACACATTGAATCCATGGATGAAGGCAGTACTTACAAATACCTTGATTTCTTTCAGAAAAGACTCATAGAGCAAAAAGCTCTCAAGGAGAAATCTGTGGCTGAATATGTTAAGTGACTTAATGGCATCCTGAAATCAAAGTTGAGTGGGAAGAATATGTTAAAAGCAATTAATATCTATGCAATGTCATTCTCAATATATACATTTGTAAGTATGAAATGAATGTTTGAAAAGTGTTTTAACAAAAATTCCTACAAAATTAATGGAGCGGGCTCTTCACTCTCCTGAGGTGATCTCCATAGGAAGATGAATACTTTCTTGTGAAAATGTAAAAAGAGCATTGATAAACACTTAGAGAACATGAAAAGTAAAAATATTTGCAGAATTCCTTTTGGAACAATCAGATATTGCTTCACTGAGAAATAGTAAAGGATGATAACAAGTATATATGACTAGATTTGCCAAATGTAACTAAAAGTTGCTTATTGGATGGAGGCTATGAAATAGTTATGATCTAGAAATGGAATCCAAAAGCTTTTTATGGGCAATAGCTATATGAACTCATCAAGGAAATGTCAAACAAAGGGATGTGGATATATTTGTGGAAACAGAGGGCTTTATGTGGAGGCAATTCAGGATCAGATTATTGCCACCAGAAATTTAAGAAGGGCCATATTTAGGAAGTCTGAATTTAGTGATCAATGTAGATGATTCAAGGAAATTGTAGAAACCGTGCAACTCATTACTGCAAGCAGCTAAGCGGTGCAATGGATAGAAAGCAGGGCCTGGAGTCAGGAAGACTCATCTTCCTAAATTCAAATCTGGCCTCAGACCCTTACTAGCTGTGTGATCCTGGGAAAGTCATTTAACCATGTTTGCCCAGTTTAGCTACACACAAGAGTTTCCAGAGATCAGCCACCTGATTTTTAATATATTCTAGTTGACAGGTCTTAAAGAAGTTGAGCCCTGAAATTAAGAATTTGGAGTATTCAAGAAATTTGCCAGAACAAATTCCTACAATATTTTGAGTGTTAGCTGCAGGAAAAACCTCCCATAAAGGCAGAACTTAGATGGTTAGAGGACTGCCCCCTACAATCCATAAATAGTCAGAGGGGCTGTCTCCAGTGTCTTTAGTGAGGAACTTCTCAGGAGGAATAAACTAAAAGGCAAGTATCTCAGGAATCTAGTCCAATTCTCTCAGGAGAAGTTCCAATGAGGAGCACCACTCCTGTTTGGTGATGCCCACAGGAGAGATGGGGTCAAGCACAAGCATGCCTACAGGATCTTCACTAGGCAACTTTTTAACAGCCTGGGATGAGGGTGGGCTCCCTCTCCATCAGGGGAAGACCAGGGAAAGAGCTATTAAACTGTAAGATCTGGTATGAAACTACAAAAGGCTCAAGGGAATGGTTCTGGCCAAAGTTCATAACTTCTGACTATTCTACTCTTAAAGATTTATAGAATTTTATTAAGCAATCTCCCAAAGCTAATTTTAGAATAGATGAATTTTTTATATTGCTGGGAGGTGCTGTCTAAAGGCAGTCAGGCCTCATCTCTCTATCAAGCTTTACCAGACTTTTGCATTCCTCCTTCCTCTGCCCTCCTGTTTATGCTCCTCCTTCTGAAACACCCCCTTCCTTAATAAAAATTCAAGGAACAGAGCAACCTGTTGCTATTTTTCCTCCTGTAGATAAAATGCACCAAACAACAGCAAGAGGAGATCTTATATATATTGAAGAACATCATCCTTTTAGGCCATCAGACCTCTTTAATTGGGGGAAAGATACATCTAGATTTAATGAAAATCCTGTTACAGTTATTGTTCAAATTAAAGCTATTTTTCATTGCTACAACCCAACATGACATGATGTAACCGATCTCATGGGGACCTTATTATCTCCAGGAGAAAGAACAGGGTGTTATTGAAATTACAGATAAACAGATTGTTGGGTCCAGGAGATCAGGGAACCTGGCCAGTTCAAGATCACCACTGGGATCCTAATCAACCTGCAGAGTTTGTCCAGTTGCAACAGGTTAGGGATGCCTTACATGTAACTTTTTGCAGAGAGACCAGATAATTTTAGTGAATTTCAGGAGACCATTCAGGAAATGGGTGAAAACCCCATGAAAATTTATGATACATTATGTAAGAGTGGAAAGCATCATGCTAGATTAGATTCCCTAAGCCAATGAGATGCAAGGATTATTAATGCAGCCTTTGTCAATCAATTGTTGCCTAAGATCAAGGACTGCTTTCTCAAGTACTCTCCAGGATGGCATGAAAAAGCCATAGAGGAACTCAAGGAGATTGCGCAATATGTTTGTGAGGGAAAAGAGCCTGTTAAGGCTAGTACTGACACAGGAGAGAAGTCCAAAAGAGAGGCTCAGCTTAAGTCTCTCCTTGCAGCTGTCCATACTTCTGGCCATCCAAAACCCCATTTTTTCAGCCTTGATTAATTCAGCATCCCACTAAAGGTCATAAGGATTATTTTTATTGTGGAAAAAGAGGGCACTTTACTAGAGACTGCATGATGGAAAGGTAAGAACAAAGGAACCCTCAGTTTACTGAAACCCAAAGACGAGACCTAAATTGGCTTCATAGGCAAAATTATGCCCCACAAAAGGAAAATTGATTCAGGCAGCCCTTGAATCAAATGGAAGGGAACAGTGGGCATGGAAGGTTCAGGAACAAAATGACAGAGTTTGAACAGCAGGAAAACCTCTGTGCATGAAGGTGCAGGGGAGAGGCAAGGAACAGTGTTATTTCCAATATCCTTGCTCCTGTTAGCCTTGACTCTGCCTCTCCCCTAACTGGAGAACAGAGAATTGCTCTAAAAATTGTGGGTGTCTCATATGTTTGCCTTATTGATACTGGAGCTTCTCATTCAGTTCTAATTAAAAAGCCAAGCTCTGATTTTTACCATTATTCAATCTATAAAAATAGTGGGAATAAAGGGAACCCCTATGGGAGGTAACTTCCCAAGAGGTGATGGTGGGCTCCCTGTCTTTTTTACATTCCTTCTTATGGGTACCTAGTGTACCTACTAATTTGTTGGGAAGAGATCTCCTGTGTAAATTTAATACCACTATTTTAGGCCTTCCAGATAATACTTTAACTCTCCAACTGCCAGACAATCTGACTGATTTTTTCCCAATGATTTTTCTAATGATGAGTTTCTTTCACTTTTTCCTGTGGCACCAACTTAAGATGATTGTGACAGTGGCCCTAGTATTCCCCATGATATCCTGAGTTCTTTGTGGGCCACTTCTTCCACTGATGTGGGCCTTTTTTTTTATTATTCCATATATTTTAATAAGAGTTCTCTGCAAAGCATTTAGAACACCAGTTTGTGAGGATAAACTCTGTTGGAGAGAGAAAATCCAGAATGCAGGTAGCCACAGAGCTGAGGAATTTTCTTGATTTGGGGCAGGATCTGAGAGTCTGTTGTTTTCTGATCAGCCTTGTACTGCTCTGTAATCTCATATTTCTGTTTTTCTGTGTCAAAAATCCCTCCTTCCTGGTGTCTAGGTTTATGAACATTAATGCATTGTTGCTGGAGTTGTGAAATGATCCAACCATTTTGGAGAGCAATTTGGAACTATGCTCAAAGGGCTTTAAAAATGTGCATGCCCTTTGACCCAGTAACAGAACTTCTGGGGCTATATCCCAGAGAGATCAGACAAATGCGAAAAGGACCCACATGTACAAAAATATTTATAACAGCTCTTTTTGTGGTGGCAAAGAATTGGAAATTGAGAGGATGCCCATCAATTGGGGAATGGCTGAACAAGTTGTGGTATATGAATGTAATGGAATACTATTTAGCTATAAGAACTGATGAACAGGCTGACTTCAGAAAAGCCTGGAAAGACTTGTATGGTCTGATGCTGAGTGAAGTGAGCAGAACCAGAAGAATGTTGTACATAGTAACAGCCATGTTGGGAGATGACTAATGTTGATAGACTTAACCCTTCTCAGCAATACAGGGATCTAAGACATCTCCAAAGGCCTCATGATAGAAAATGCTATCCACATCTAAAGAAAGAACTATGGAGTTTGAATGAAGTTCAAAGAATACTCTTTGCTATTTTTTTCTTCTGTTGTGTTTTGTTTCCTCTTTCTGGTGGTTCCTCCCATTGGTTCTAATTCTTTCTTACATGACTAATGTGAAAATGTGTTTAATAGGAATGTATATGTATAGCCTATACCAGATTGCACACTGTCTTGTGGAGGGAGGTGGAGAGGGAGGGGGAGAAAAATTTAAAACTCAAAAGTCTATGGAAGTGATTGTTGCTAATTCAAAATAAATAAATTAATAATAATAAAGAAAAAATAACAAACCTGTCTACTGATTTGTTTGAGATTTATGTGCTATTAGTGCATATGTTATACCAAGGCATCTTGTGGTACCCAGCCCTGCTACAATTGTTTCTTCTAATTCCTCAAGATGCCACCTATTTCACAGGTATAGATCTGTGCACTGTATT